GATGGAAGCTGGACGCAGAGCGCCACAGTCCCATGCGACAGGAAGTGGCGCAGGCGGAGATATCTAAAGTCAGCATCGATGGCGGACAGGTGTGTGTGCTCGAGGCAGAGCTGCAAGGCCTGCCTGACCTGGTGACATTCTGCTGTCAAGGCTGCACACCAGCAAGACACCGGCTAGTCCTTGAAATTGAAGCGCACAAGCAAACAGGTGATGTTGTCATTGCTGCCCCTGTTCATTGCTGTCTCAGCAAGACGCTCTGACACCTTCTGAATGGGGAGCCTCTGGTTGAATGCTTCCCTCGATATGGACACCGCTTCCTGCACAATGAGCAAACAGCAAAAAATGAATAGATAGGGAGCTGTGAGGAAAAGATGCAACATGCCAGGCTGCTAAGAACACACAGAGCCCTTCCAAACAGTGGTTGTAAGACGACTACTAACTACCAACAGGTTCAAACTGCCAGAGTTGCTGCTGGTGCAGCACAAAAGGCAAACAAGCCATGGCGGTCTCTCCAGCAGTTCACAGTGTAGGCAAAAGCCCTGTTGGAGAATTTGCAACTGGCAATGCCCTGACCCATACAGCAACACATGGCCTTGTGCCACCAAGGGTTCAAGCGACGAGTACACACAATGTCTGGTATCTGACAAAGTCGCGATGACGTTTCAATCAATCCAGCGTAGCCCGTGCACTCCCAAAACACAACCCAACTCACCTCATTGCTGACAACGTCCCAGAGGCCGTCGCTGGCAAGGACAAGGAACTCGTCGTCTTTGGTGAGGTCCTCAGACCTCATGTAGGGATCCGCTTTAACATACTTCTTCAGCGGCCGATCTCCAAAGGCGCGAGATACTGCCAAGACCCCGCCAACCCGCCACGTTCCAGCCCAGACCACCATGCCCCCATTGTCCTCGATTCTTTGCTTCTCGTGTGGCTCGTTTGGTTTGTGGTCCACCGACACTTGTATCGCTGCATACATGTCATATGACAGTGAATAGACAGTAACAGACCATACATAACATATGACAAGCAACAGGCAAGCCAACAAATAAATATGTCAACACCTGGCCATGAAAGAAACGGGTGGCACAACACCCCACAAGCCTGGCTCCTCGCCAGTCACACAAAGACTGTGACAAAATAAACACAGCAACTCCTCATCACAAGCACAAGGTTCGCCACTGCCACCACGCATTCGAAGCCTCTCCAGCTTGGAGAGCCACCCGCTCAGGGCTGCAAGACGTCCAATTCACCCTGACCGTGCACCACTTCAATGAACGTCCACTCAACAAATTGCACCTTTTCCTTGCCGGCACAACACTGCTCTTGAGTCTCCCACATTGGCCATTGTTAGTCTCCTGCCAATGACTACGGCTGTCACAGCTGTTGATCCAGCACCACTGCAACACAGCCACATAAAATCGATGCTTGGACAGGACGACTGCATGTCACTGGGCTTAGGTGGCACATCTGACAAGAGAGCAAACCTCACAGACACTAGCATATGCTTGATGTGGCACTGACACAACACCAAAACATCCACACAGGCCCATTGACTGACACAGCAGCAACATTAGCAGTTGGGCCTCTGTGCCTTCTGATAGGTGCAAGCCTGGTGTTCTGTGGTTGCCTTGTGCAGCATAGATATCGAGTTATGGTGGGAAGATAGCCACGTTCACAACAGCAGCAACTGGGCGCAAACAGGTGGTATGTGAGCATACACAAATTCTTGAAGCCTGTCACGCCCATGATCGAACGCACCACAAGAGGGCTTGGTTTCGGTGTCATGTGTGCAAACTACATTCCAGGGAATGAGGCTGTTGCTGGACAGCTTTATGCTAGTCTTGCATGAACGCATATGTTCTCCCATAGCAATACTCTTCCTCTGCACCTTGAGAGCGATTATATGTGCCACGATCAGAGTGTAACAGATTTGGAAAACACAGCCACGACCCAACAACAACAACAACAACAACAACAAGAAACCGTATTCTCAGTCTGCTGTCCTGTCTCACAACATGCTGCACAACGTCTCCGATTCCTGGGAGGCAGCAACGACAGTTTTCATCGCCAACAGTGAAGGTACAAGGGCCCCACTTTGTCAAGCCTGACAGGTGCAACTGGTTGTCACATTGTAATCAATTCAACATCTTGTTGCTTGTGACGGGCAGCCACTGGCTATGCAGCAGAGAGGCAGCGTCTCTCACCCATCGTCTCTTCTGGACTTTGGGTCTTCTAAATAGCTGTCGTCTGTGTTCACATACACCTCATCTGCAAGCAACAGCACCACCATGAGATCAGCAATCCACATCGAGCAAAGTACAAGCAGCCAAACAGGGCATCGAGCACACAATAGCTCCCCAGCAACAAGCAGTCTACCCAGATACAACGAATTCGATCCCCTCACACTGTTTGCCTATGAATCTGACATCATCCTGGCAACCATTCTGCCACAGGAAGGTGGCCCCGCTCTGGGTCAAATAGCCCTGTTCAGAGAAGGCACAAGCTGGGGCAAGGCAGCCCTTGCCCCATGCAAAGCGGCTTGTGCTAATTCCAACGCATGCAGGCGAACCGAAAGGGGCGCATCAATCGCAGAAGGCGAGCTTGGCTCCCTCCACACTCACTTGTGGCCTTCTCCGTGTCCGTCGTGAAGTCTTTGTGGTTCGTGAGATTCTTGAACAGGTGCTGCTTAATGTACATGGCGGCGTCCGGCCCCCCATGGCCTGCAGGCACGAAGCACGCACACACAAAGTTCCGGGCACGTGCCCCTTCCAGCCAGCGCGACCTCCGGCCCAAGGTCCCCAAGCGCAACAACAGCACACACATACACGGACACAAACAAACACAATCGTCACCCCGCCCCCCACCCACCCCCACTCACCGTCGAAGACCCCGAACATCCCCACTGACTCCGGGATCCCAGGCACGTCCTCGAACTGCGATCCGCACAACAAAACGCAGACCGTCAGCGCCGCCCTCCGGGGTGCAACTTCCGAGCCGGCTGCCGGCCAGCGTGCAGGCCCCGCGGCGCACCTTCGCGGAATGGTAGTCCTCCATCGTGGACCGCTTCCCCCTCAACAGTGTGTAACCGTAGGAAATGGTCTTGTCGTGCCTGCACCGGCCGACACCCGCACAGACACACACAAGTGCATCTGATTAACTTCCACCCAGCGCCATAGACACCACACTCTGGCGCGCAACGCCCGTCGGCCCCTCTTGGCAAACAACTGCGCTTGCCGCCAGGCCCCAGACGTCGCTGCCCCGCCAAGAGGGGAGATTCGAAGCTTGCCACCCACCTTTCTTCACTGCCGACCTGCACGCCCGTCGTGTTGGGGATCGACTCCTCGGCATCCCCGGGCTCGCGCGGGTACCCCAGCAGCTGCTGCACCAGCCAGCTCCACATCCTGCCCAGCCCCGATGACGCCAAGCCCAGGTCCTTCAATTCCGAGCCTCCTCTGGCCTCCTCCCAGGGACTGAAACACAGAAAACGCGACAAGCCATCATCACATGAGCCCAGCGCCTGCTTGCCGGCCAACCAAGCACAGTTCCAACTCAACCGGGTAAAGAATCCCGCCCTCTCCGCTGGGCGGTGCAGAAGCAGAGCACAGCTGGCAGCGGCTGGCGCCTTCCGAGAGTTGCCGCAGCCGCATCGAAGCGCCTACCGCAGCTTGGGTGCCCAGTCGTGGCGCGGCAGCGGCGAGCTAGGGCGGCGGCAGCGCCGGGGGGTGGGACGGGGCGCTCACCCTGGCTGCTGGCGTGTCGCGGAGAATGGAGGGGGCAGGCAGCAGAACATGCGGTTTCTTTCGGAGGGGCGCGACCCATTTCGCTGCAGGCACCTGCCTTGCCACGGATCCCCCACCCAGTGATGGCGGACACAGCAGGTGGGGCGGGGGAGAAGTTGCCGGGAACTGGCGGAAGGGACAGCTATCGGACTGCCGGACGGCGGTCTCGTCAATGGGTGGGACGGCGATGGGATGGCCTGGCAATTTCTAGGATTAGTCATTCGATGTGCATCGGACGACGTGCGCTGCGAATACGGTACGGGTTCATTTTGTCATGCTTGCGGATCGTGGGGGACAGCTGTTGTTTGGTGGTGATTTGGCTGCCTGTGGCCACAGCGCTGTTTGAGGGGCTGCCAGGTGTCCTGTCCAAGCCCAGAGGCAGTGCCATTCGGGGGCCAAGCGACCTTCCTTGTTCGGATCGTTGGGTTGAGTGCAGCAACAAAGAGACGGGTAGCTTTCAAACATTGCGATGCGGGTGCCAAGGGGGCCACAGGTTGTTAAGCTGAGCACACCGGTACCCCGAATGCCTGTGCCTGCAAGGGAGAGAGCCCACGTTCGCTACATGTGCAATCTTGCTGTTCGATCACCCACTCGTGCCCCCTGTCCCACACCATACGCCAGCACCCCATCTCTGGCCATTTCGGCTGAAAATCCCGCCCACATTCGCGGGAATAGATGCACACCATTCACAGCGACAATCGGCGGATGCGCAGAGCGTTCACAGGCACAGGAAAAAGGCCAACCTGCGCAGAGCCCAGCCAACGGCGCACGTCCCCCAAGTCTTCTCGTGGCGCTGCAGAGCAGGCACACCTCCCCTACCGACCTCGGCCCAGCCCAACACCGCTCGGAAGTAAGGCCGCGCCCACGCCGAAGCACCGGAAACTGCCGGGCTCAGCGAGGCCGATGCGAGTGGCCATCCCCACGACCCAGCACTTACTCACCTCGATTGCCATGTCGACTCCGCCGATGCGAACGGGCCCCTCAGGAACACTTTTTTATGCGCCTAAAGGCATTCTTACCGCGCTTGATGTCTTGATTTTGCCTGCGATGCCCTCGAAAGGCCGCTCCCGACTCGCCGCTGTTTGACCCAAGTAGCTGGAACGCGAAGTCCTTCAGCAAATTGGGCGCACGGCGCTCGCTCACGCGCACCTTTGGCTTTCCTTGAACCCCCCACAGCGCAGCTTGCCGCCGCTGGTGTGGGCGTCGCCTCGACCTGTCGCCGTCGTGGCTCTCTGGTGGTGCACGCACGTGATTAGGTGAGTGGGGCGCACCGATCACCGCAGGCCAGTTGGCCTGTGCGGAATAGCCAACGTTGGGCTGCCGGTACTTAGTGGGTGCCGTTTGCAGCACTGCCAAGCACTCAATAGTGTTGTCACGAGGATATTTCCCGTCAAATCTGTGCACAACTCGCTAAGTCCACGGACTTTTGGACTCATTTCAGGCGAGGAAAATCTAATGCAGAGTTCTGCGCGTGCGATGACGATGCACGGTGCATGGCGCACAACACCAGAGTCTGGTCTTGGCAAAGATGCACGTTTGCGTCATGAGACTGTGGCTGCGAGTGGCTGAATCCCGTCCTCGCCCACGCTGGGGGCGGCGGGACAAGGGAGGGAGTCATGGCTGTGGCCGCTTGTGAGAATCCGGTGTTGATCAGGTCTGGGCTCACGAGGGACAGCGCCGCTGTCGCGCCCTCCACTCTGACACTGCGCCTCAAAGACTGTTGACAGCCCTGTGTTCCGCACGCCAGTGATGTCAGGAAATTGGCCAGCGCCGACGCTAAGGGTGCATTTTTGAGTGCAGCACAGGGTTGAGTGGTGTGCGAAGGTGCAGCGTAGCTGTGGCTGGAGACAGTCGGGTTGGAAGATTCCATGCACATAGTTTCTGTTTGTCACTGTTCTCGCCATGCTCAAACAGCGCGAATTTGTGTAAATCGCGCAGTACAAGCAGTACTTCATCAGCGCAATTGCTCACGCATAATCGCGCTCTATTGCTGGCTATATCTGGCTGGATGGAGGTCAGATGTAGTAATCTAGGAAGCCCGCTGTGTGCTTTATTTGCCTGCTGCTTTGAGGCGTCTGAAATTGCTGAGACCGTCGATCAGGAAAGCTCCACTTGCACAGGCGGGGCCGTGTCGAGTCGTTTTAGTCGCGCCTTCTGGGCCATTTTTCTAGAGTGATACCTGTCGTTCGCAGCAGTCTGCCCCGGTGGAGCAGCTGCCCGTTTTTCGCCGGCTTGTGGCCCGCCGCATTCTGCTGCTCAGGCCCAGCCGGCAAATCTCTGTTTCCTGTCTGCGGGTGTGCAAGTCGAGTCAATACTCGCGAAATTTCGCGCATGCCTGTATCTGTATTCGCATATTTGCGCACCCCCACAAGTCGCCCACACGTCAGTAAGGGAACCCGTTCAGTGTTGCCTGACCCAGCCCTGGTCTTCCCGCAGTCGCCATGTACGCCGTGTTTTCCGAGAACGCAGGCCACTTTTTCCATCTTCAGCGCTCCTTTCGCATCTCGCGTACACATATCGAAACTCGCCCATAACGGGGCGGCGCCACGCGAGACAGCTGCAGCCCTGCCGCATTCGGCCACTCGCCATGGGTGTTTGTTGGAGCACGCTACTGCTGGCGAATGCCACGGCAGTAGGCATTGTACGCCACCGTTGAATGCCCCAAAGTACAACGCTTACGTATTGCTGTACATGGGGGAAAGCAAATGCACCGGGCCGATGACAGCTTAACTTGGGAGGCGCTGGAGTCGCCGGCGCATTACCCTCAGAGATCGTGCGACTGGAAACAAACGATACATGCGTGGGGTATATGCCTGGGATGCTGCGCAGATGAATGTGACATTTTGTTGTGAAACTTCATTCGTTTTAACCCAAGTTGCCAAACCTAAGCTGCGCGGATCGGCCTCAAATGCATCGAAACGGCATGGAAAGTATCAGAATTGCAGGTTCTGAGTGTGCTATACGCCTTTTGGCACAATCTAGTTATTTATGATAGACAATTTGTTTGTGTATGTACTTGTGTGGGTTGTTTTCAGCTACACGTCCACGCTTTTTTGTTTTTTAAATTTAAATAGACTGAAGAATAGCACGTACAACGTGATCAAGGAAATGCCATTTGCCCCTTTTGAAGGAATCCATGTCACATGGCAGATGGCAAATTAGCATTTTCCGGTAAGGAAAGAGTTTTAAGCGTGAAGAGAAACGGCGCGATGTGGGCTTGCCTACCAGCGCATGTGGCTTTGATGAATACGCTGTGGTGTGGCCGCCGCGCGGTCTGAGCATCAATGCAGCCCCACAGTGGTTAAAATTCAGCGTGTGTCTCTTGTTTCGCTGCTTATTGACAACCACCATTTTTGCGTTGACGAGAGCTTGCGCGTGGTGTTGATCAATCAGCCATTCGTCGCACCAGGGGAGCAAGAGGATTCGTAGCCTGCGTGTGCGATGCGAGTGTGTGCCATGCATGAGCAGTATTGCACTGTCCTAATGTACTCCAGTGCTATTGTGGATAGACTGATTTGTTGGCGTAAAATTAGGTCGATTAATCAGTCTATCACGACATTGATGATGGAGATCAGGGGCCTGCAGCCGATCATATTCCCAACATCGGAAAGAGAGCGGGGTCAGAAAGCCTCCTTGCACTCGCTGCGCGGCCGCCACTGTGACCTCACAGCACACGAAGCCACACCAGGGCTTACAGCGTCACTGTCTCTTGCCTCCGATTGCACATCCGCTGTAAGCGCCAGATGGGCATGATGGGCCCAAATTCACATGGCGCACGCGCATCCATGCAGAAGCAACACTACGCCCTTTGAAGGGTCGTTCGCGCCTGCACGTCCCATCGCCCGATGCCACTGACGTAATTCCCCGTCCGTCGTCAGGCGCGCGTTGGACACGGGGGCCGGCGGCACTCCCGACAGCGCCCAGGCAAATTGCCGCAGAGCGGGGCAGCAGGAAGACCACCCTCCCACCGAGGAGGCTGCATTCCCTTATCATCGAATTCGCGCTCGTCTGCAGAATCGCCGGGGCCCTGCTGTTCGGAGAGGCCGCTACGGTATCGAATTCGGCGTTGGTATCCCGGCGCCCGGAGGGCATGTGAATCCGGGCGCGGGGGCCGGCGAGTCTTGAATGGATGCCGCGCGGACGGGCCCATGGCGAGTGGTGGCGGCTCGCGGCCGGCGCGATCCTGCTGGCTGCCGGGCTGCAGCTCTGGGGTGCGGCCCACGGGCAGAAGACCGTTGGGGAACTCGTGGCGGAAGACAAGCGGCTGGTGGGTGGCTTGACGGCGATGTTTTTGAAGTGGGGCGGATTGGCGCATAGGACGGATTGAATTGGATTGGATTCGATCCTTCTCTGCGGCCATGGGCGGGGGCCGCTTTGATTTCGTGCGTGTCATCGTTCGGCGCCCGCCGGCGCAGGTGCAAGGCTGCTCGCCGTGTTGTGAGCGGAAATTGCGGGGTTTTGCTTTTTTCGTATTGCCTTTGTGGGAGGAGTTGAGCCCTTGGCGCCCAATGCTGGGCGGGCATTATTGGTTTGGACGCCGACCGGGCGTTGTCCTCGCGTGCGGCCATGGCGGGATGCCTTTTCGAATTAGGTATGCCTCGTTGGGTCCGTTGAGAGCGACAATGGAGAGTGTCCCTTGCTGACATGGACCTGCAGGAGTTCAAGCATTTCTGAAGGTCCAGTTCAGGGAGGGCACGCCGCTGCTGCGCGTACTGCAACGACGTGAATATCTTGTTCGGCGCAGCAAATGGTCCTGGCGTTGCACGACAGGGGATTGATGGCATTTTGCTGCTGCCTGTCTATGCCTTCCTGAAAATTTTGTTCCCAAATAGATGCATTTTCTTGACCGCAGTGGCATGGCCAAATAGCAATATAATGTCACACATTTTAATGATTGAATCTGAAGCGGCATTTAATAATTAAATATCTGCAAAATTCTGTAAAACGTCAAATTAAATTTCCGCAGACACTTGCCTTTGGACATTGAGTGTGTATGTTTGGGCATGCTTGTGTTCTAGCTTGCGTCAGCAACACTGCTTTACGTATATATGCACACATACAAACACGGGAAAACAATTACGAAATTAGAACCGCAATGGCAGTTACTGGATCTTTGTATTTTCTGATTTTGCAAGCTCAAATTTTATTTTGCCACAAAGACCATTTTGCCACTCAGTCCAACAAGCGGATTGCAATCTTGGGACCCAAGCAGACGGGCTTCAGCGTGCGCGAAATCCCCTACCAAACGGTTGGAAGGGGGTAAGTCCCCACTGCACAAGTGGTATCTGGCATCCACTTCATATTTGTATGGATTCAACTTTTTCATGTATTGATCTAGGCTATCCTTTTGAAGAGTGCATGGAAATTCTCTCAACCGCCATCTGTCTTGATCACGATACCCATCAAACATGTGCCAGTTGATATCCAGTCTCTGCACATTACAGGGAATAATGTCAGCAGCTCTGAGCGTCGCCCTCGAAGATGGTCCCATCACTCCCGATGGCACTGCGTACACAGTCATTGCACCCACGGACAGGGCGTTCGCCAAGGCAACAGAGGACGGCAGTATCCTGTGCACAAATAGCAGGGCATGCGCGTCGGAGAACGAGTTCTTGTTTTCTTCAGGAGTAGAGGAATTTGTACTTAGGCATGGTGGGTATTTGACAGTGAGCTGGGTACATGGCTCCAGCCGAAAACACAAGAGCACACAAGGGCTATGGGAGACCTTTCGTTGTGAAGACATTGAACAAATGGGAATAATTGAGAGCCCCAGAATCACAGCTGTGACTGCTTCATCAGTATTATCACGTTGTACATGATCAGCCACACACTGTTTGCAAGCATATGCCCCCCTATTTCTTTTCTTGTCTCTGTGTATCTCGTGGTTTGTTTCCATCATAGCAGTTTTTTGGATACCACTGGGCACGAAGAAAATATGTGGCAATAATAATTGTCACAGCTGTGACTGCTTCATCAGCACGTTGTACATGATCAGACACACTGTTTGCAAGCATACTATTTCTTTTCTTGTCTCTGTGTAGTGGTTTGTTTCCATCATAGTGGATACCACTGGGCACGAAGAAAATATGTGGCAATATTGTACCTACAAAGACTGTCCAACTGTTTGGAGTCCACTGTGTGACAGGAGCTACAGCTGCTGCGTTACCTATTTTGGGAGGCAGGACATCAGGCAGTGTGCAACCGATTGTCTATTATTGGCATAGCACATCATGTGATATATGTCTTGGTAGAATTGCTCTAGACTACGATTGCGTATACAGCAAACCAAGTATTTTGTTGTGCAATGGACCTGACTTGTGATGAACTGCTCTGTGTGCTCCAGTCCGATGTCGTGATCTCCTTGACTGCACGTGCACAACACACCCTATGCCTTAATGTGCTGTTCAAAGCACTGAAAGCTGAATTTGTGCTACACTTTCATCTTACCTCCAAGTTTGTTGGTCTTGTGGCACATGTCAAAGAGCTTGGGCTTGCACAGTGTGGAAAGACATGTCGCCAACCTGCCATGAGGATGCTGTATTTCTGAGAGCTTTGTTCATGGACAGCGTGGAAAGAAATGCCTCCTATTTGAGTGCGAGGCCATCATCGTTAGAGAGTTTGGGGGCCTTGTCTGCGACATCTTTCATGCGCACTGCTGCTATTTGGCTGTCGGGTCATTGCATTATCATGTTGCAATGATGCCATGAATGAATGTCAACCTTTGGTTTGCCTGCTGGTGCACAGTTTTCAGGGGGTATCTTTTCCCAGAACTATGGACAGATGGTCAAATTTTGAGGTCTGTCAACGGTGCCTACTCAAAGGTGAGGGCAGATTGCAAGTCTTGTTTGATATCATGCGCACCCTCTAAACTTCACAATGCTAAGTGGGCTGCATTTTCCCTTCACAGAATGTCTATTTCCACTGGCACTATAAGTTAAGGGTGAGTTCCGCATAATTGAATTGGGTTGGATACCCAATGTTGGCTGGTGTTCGTAAGCATGCTGGCCAAGTTGTCATTTGTGACGATTAATGCAATACCAGTTTCCTCTCCTCACTTTGGGGGCACATCGTTTAGCAACACTCCCCAGCATGTCTGGTAGTTTCTTCGCCTATTTCTGCCGCAACTTCATCAATGCAGTCTGTTGCTGTGTGGATCTTCTCTCCAGGTTGAAAATCTGGACGGTGGCGCGATCACCATCGGTGGTGCTCACTTGGCTCAGAAGAATTCCAGGATAGCAGCAGCGGATGGAGTCATTCTTGTGGTGGACTCCGTGCTTAAAGACTACAGCCGCCTTGACCCCTCCGCCGTTGCCTCTGCAGAAAGAATAGCGGATGTAGGACCTTTCTCCGATGGCCAGGTAGACAACGGAAACGGGCATGCTGGTCTTGGACAGTCTCAAGAGTTTTGACGCTGGCTTCTGATTGTCAGGCAGTGCCTGGTCGGATGTGGAACCGGCTAGCTCCTTTCCTGGATGAATGCCTCAGGAAAAGGAGGTCTGTTTCGCTTGAGATGGGATGTGCCATTCCTTCTTTCTTTCCCTTCCTTGTTGTCTTTCCTTTTCTTTCCTTCATGTCCATTTCTTTCCTTCCTTTTCCGTTCTTTTCAGCTCATTTTTAGTGCATGAATGGCATTTTCCTAGTAGTAGTTTCTTCCATGGATAAATATGCCACATTCGAGCCTTGCGATTTGAATACCTGTGTCGCCGAACCGAATGAGCACCCTGCACTGTGGGGATGTTGGCACCCTCGGCTGTTTGTCGCCTGACATTAACGTCCAATACCGTTCATTTCCAGGCTCGAAGGCAGGAAGGTCATTTTCATGTTTCAAGCCTTGGAGGCTAGAGTTTTGGTGGCCTTGTACCCTTCATGACCTTCATGGCCCCTTCGCTACCTTTATGTCTGCAAATGTGGTGTAACGGACAAACCTCTCATCCGCCAGTATGAGCGTCAATGTGTGTGCCCGATCGCGAACGCACTAATTGTGCTATCAATGTTTCCGAATTTCCCAATCAGTGGACCACGGCCACAGGATCCAGCCACGACTTATCAATGGTATTTTCACTCCCTGTTCGTCTGCATGGGCTCCTGCAGTACAGAGTCCTTGTCAACGAGCTGACGAGCTACGTCACTTGTTACCGCAAAATTCGTGGCCTGGGGTTCCGAGATTGGGAGAGTCGCCAACAGTCAGCACTGGTGTTCAGCCCTTTGCTGAGCAAGCCATCCGAACCTGAAGGTGTGGGCGGCTGTGAAGAAGGCCACAGCAGGATTGGCGGTGATCCAGCCCTGAAGGGATTGAGGCGGCAGATGTTCGTGGCACCTCCAAGCGGCAAGGCGCAAGAGTGGAGCAATGGAGTGTTTTGGACCATTCCGCTGGACGTCGAGCGTCCGGACAGCGATGATGACCTGGCCTACATGACGGTGGGCTGTCGTTCTTGTGAATCGGATGGTGTGAACTGGCAATGCTCATTGTTCTGCGCCCCTGCCTGTTCTGGTGGACCTCTGTATTAGTCAGAGCAAACTCTGAATGCATCCCCTGTAGGAGGCAGTGTTGTTTGGCTGAAGGGCTTGGAAGGTGGAGAGAGAAGCGATCCGTTTCCACGGCGGAAATGACGGTGGTCGATGACTGCTGGTAATTCGAAACCTGGCTGATTATTTGTGTCCGATCGTTATCATGTCTATGCAGATTTTCATCGCTGCCTACAGCAATTGAACTAAAACACCCCATATGCCTTCCTTCGTGCAGAATACATTCATGTTGAGCGAACACCCATACACGTGAGTTTGAATTCAGAAGATTTCTCAATCGTTTGAAGGCAGTGCATTTCCAGTATGGTCGGGTTTGGGGCAAGAGCACACTTCGGGTGAAAACGCTGCAAATTCAGTACATTGTCAAAGCATGCAGAATTTGGTGAATTATACAACCGGTGCTTTCACACTCCACTAGTGATGTCTTAGATCGCCCATGTTTCACCTAAGAACCGCTTGTTCAAATGTTTCCAGGTCATGCAGCTGGCATCGCTCTTAAGGCAGAAAAAAGTAACTTCAAAGGAGCTGACGGCCCTTTATCTGGACAGATTGAAAAGGTAGGAAAATGTGTGTGTGTATCGCGCTGCCAGCAACGAATGTCTAGCATTTGAACGTCTTCATTATGGATGCGGACGTTTGGCCAGTGGCGCCGGGCCATTGCAGGGGTGCCATGGCGGGCCCGTTGGTGTGTGCCCACGCGATATATGGTTCATTGACGTGATGTCCAAGGAAGCACGCGTTTCTAAAAGTTGCAACGCAATATATCAGAATCTCATTGCATATGTTGTATACTGTACACTGCATGCTGCGCACTGTATACTGTATACTAACAGGACCACTGGCCAACATCACCAACCTGGTGAACGGGCACGTCCGCTGTCACCTGGCAAATGCAATCGCAACAGGATTTGAGTGTTGTCTGCATTCTGCTGGCGCAGATACGACGACACCCTGGAGGCTGTCGTCACGTTCACGGACAGCCTGGCAATGTCTCAGGCCGCCCAAGCCGACCATGAAATGGAGGCGGGCGTCTTCCGGGGACCCCTTCACGGAATTCCGTACGGCCTTAAGGACCTCATGGCAGTTCCCAACTACCCTACGACCTGGGGCGCGGAGCTGTTCTCGAACCAGGTGCGGGCGTTGCTTTGAAACATGCTACATTGTTCCAACGCGTTGAACTTCATGCAATATTTATGGTCAAATTCAAATAATAGGAACGCAGATGAAGAAGGTCCGTTATTGCGATCAACTAGCAAGAATGCACATTTCACGCAGGTTTCTTCCTGTCATTTTACAGTGTTAATTCTATCTACAGAACGCAATGCTAATGAATAAAACAAGGCTCTGAAGACTTTGTGAAGCAGTGATTTTAACAAGGGCACCGAACTGCTCACTCTGAGCGCCGTTGCTGGTGCCGTGTGGAAGTGGATGTTCTGCGCATTTTGATCCTCATATAATTCCAGGAAATATGCTGAAATTTTAGCATATACTTCCTCCGTCCAAAATTAATTGTCCTCTATGACTTTGGGGCATTGCTTCTCCATCGTACCTAGATCAATTTTCAGTGAAACTTCACCCAAAGTTGTGCTTGTAAATTTGGAGCGGGCTATTGAAATATCAAGTCAATCAATTGAGCATTGAAGATTCGGCAGTACGTTGCATCAAGGGTCTTTTCGCCTAGTAAACATCGGTATTTGGGGTTAGAAATGACCCAAATTTACCTTTCGCCTAACGCTCAAAGGGGTCGTGTCTCAGTTTCTCTTCTTCAACACTGGTTGTTATTTTTTTTGGAACCCAATCATTACTGTTGAACTTATTTTGCAATTTTGAGGCCATCATTGTAACGAATTTTATCTTTCAAATAGAGTGCACTTAGTCTTGGACAGAAGAAGTATGTTATTACAGGCAAGTTTTCACAAAGGATTGGCGTATCAACCCATTTCAATCTGATCAAATGCTGTCTCTCAAAACTACCATGTATTGAACGGAGAGCAAACGTTGCAGCATGAACACAACTAACTGTGCCCCTATATGTGGTGGTATGTTTTCGGACAAAGAAAGGCAATCGAAACAAGACTTTTTTTTCTGCTTTAGGAGGGTGGATCGGGTGGGGTGGGGCAGTGTTGGGCACAAACGAACGTAACACTCACATCTACATTCCGTCCAGGCTGAAACGTCAAAAAAATGATAACGCCACTTTTGTGTTTTGGTTTTGGAAACTCAAAATCAGGGTATACGTTTTCGTTCCCGTTTTGCAAAACCCAAACATGCCACACACACACACACACACGCAACTATTTCCATGGTGAAAACCAAAATGTGGTGAGTGCATCCGTGTTTCTGTTTGAGTGGCATACGCCCACTCCTGACTCCAAGCGATTTTTAGTGCAGGTGGCTGAGTGTGGTGACCAACCGCAGCAAAGGAATACGCAAACATGAACAGCTTTGCAGGTCGTGGACGTTGCCCACCCACTGGTTTCTCTTCATCAAAGTTTGGAAACGCAAACGCTGCCCAACGTTTGTGTTAAAGTTTCAACAACTGAAACGTTCAATCCGTGCTTGTGCTTCCATTTCAGAAACTCCGAGGCACTGCGCACGTTCCCGTTCCCGTTTCCAAAACCTAGACGTACGGCAGACGTCCACACTTCCACTTTGGAGCCCTTGATGTTGTGCGCACGTCTGCGTTTCCGTTCGAGTGGCGTGCACCCCCGTGGGGGGTGGCGTGGGTGGGTGGGGGGAGGTAGGTCCTCCAACTACTACCATCGCGGATTCAACCATAAAACCGAAGGGCACTGCACAGTGCTGCGCTTCCTGCTGCAGCGCTGTGTGCACTGCTGTGCGCCCCCTCAATGCCGCTGCATGGGCGCAGGTCCTCAACGAAGCATGCTGGCCGTACAAGCAGTTGCTGTCCTCCGGAGCTGTACTGGTGGCGAAGCTGGCGACGGGGGCCATGGCGTGGGGAGATGTGTGGTTCAATGGGCGGACGAAAAATCCTTGGAACATAGCAGAGGGCAGCTGCGGCTCATCTTCAGGATCAGGTGCGTCCATTGGTTCAACCCACAGGTCGTCGAAATGACGAGTGAATCTGCGAAAGCGCCCAAAGGACTCGGAAGGCGGCAACACTTCATCATTTGACACTCCTCCGCGATGCTTGTTGGGTGGAGTACTGCGACGCAAATAGTCTTGTGCTTCATTTCTCGGAAGGGCCGTATTTCCTCGTCAAGTGAAACCGTATTTGCGTGGAGTTGAGCCGCTGAAGATCGTGTAACAACGGAGTACCATGTGTGGCAGACTGGCGAAAACGTCCAGTCACAGCTTATTGCCCATGTCACCAATGCAACCGAATGTGTGCATCGTCACTAAATTTGGGCAATACGCGCATTGGGAGCGCTGGACAGGAATGCTGTGCTGCGGGACCGCCAATTTCGAACCGTACATTCCCTTGTTGATTGTCCTGCTCCCCTGCGGTGTGCGAAACGCCATTGCCAAATCAGCGCAGCGCTCTGAGCTTCTCTTCTGGAGCCGTGCTCGCAATTTCACGATCTATGCTGCCGGCAGCAGCCTCTGCTCTCAATAGGAGAGCGCTTGTTGCATCTGGTCCCCAGCCCCAATGCAAATGCAGTCAAATGGTGCCGAAGGGTGCATGGTCATGATGGCACACACTCACCCAGATACCCTTGAGGACCGCCGTCTGCAAGGGGTGCAGGCGAATGGACTGCAGGAGGGCAAGCAGATGGGGAACAATCAGATGTTTGTGATGTCTGGGTGCCTGTCGCCGCCTGCAAGCTGTGGGCCGTCTCGTTTCCTCTCTCAAGGCGACTTTAATGTGGCAGAATTCGGTTCCCTGAGATTTTGCTGCCGTCCAATGCTGCAGGGGCGGCGACTAGTGCGGGGCTTGTCCCATTCGCGATTGGCACCGAGACGTGGGGCTCCATGTCCTGCCCATCTGAGACAATGGGGGTCACGGGATACAGGCCCACGTTTGGGACCGTGGGCCGAACGGGCGTCATGTCGCTGGCGCCCTCCCTGGTACGCACCAGCCCTTCCTTGCGTAAACCCTCGTGACATGTTGCGACAGCACTCACTGTATGGATGCAAATGCATTGCGATATGATGTAGCGCGTATGGATACGCCGATGAGACTGATCTGTCTCGTTGGCGTCAGAGCTCACTTGGCGCGGGAGATAGGCGCCTGAGGGTGTTGCTGCAGCGTCCCAATGCCTATGTGTGTCCAAATCCCAGAAAGGCGCACAACGCCACTTGAGCAACACCCCGTCGGTTCCTCAGTTTATGGCCCCCTTTTCGCCGAATACAGAAGGGAGCACGAAGCGACCATTCACCAATGTTAATGCTTCCTATCGTCGGAGTTGCGCAACTCTTCATGTTGAGGCACGGCAAAAGCACGTTGATGGTATTGGGCTGTGATATGATTGCCATGGACTCATTTAAATCCACTTCAGCATTTTTTCCAGTATTATGACTAGAAGATTTGATTAGTCAGTAAGATGCAATTGCCAAATTTGTCGATCACGACCTCGTTTTATCTGTTTCCAATGACGACTGAAATTAATTTTTGGGAGGGGTGTGGGAGGGAGGGAGGGGCACCTCTATCCTAACGCTACGGAGATTCTCCCAGATCAATTTGTCTTGCCATACTTGCACCATAGGACAAAATTGGGGCATTCTGTCGGGAAGCCACAGACTGCGCCATCATCGTCAATGCGATGCGGGGAAAGGACCCTGAAGACATGTCATCGGTCATTGCGCCTCCGATAGATCCCCAGGATGTGGCAGTGGAGGACATGAGAATCGGATACATCAAAGAAGCGGACACACAGGTAAGTAGCGGCGCTCAGGGAGACTGCGTTCTAAATTGATTTATGCTGATTGCTTAATTGCTAATAGCTTTTTATTGTTTTTCTTTGGATCAAATTTGTTTCTTGATTGCGTGGGTATCCTATGGATGCCCACGCTGTTAAGGAACAAGTTAAGACGGTGGGCGTGGATGGTATCCACGGCCTCCACCCCGTCCTTTCTTCGCTGGATCAGCGTCCAATGCTTCGTACCGTTCAATGTACTGCAATGGCAATGTATTGCATGGCCTGCTATGAGGTGATCCTGTTTATTGCCCTTGCCAAAGCCGTGCAATAAGATCCAGTTCACGTGTCCGCCGCTGCGATGCAAATTTTTGCCGCTGTTGGCTTCCATTAATGGAAGCCAGATGTTCGGCCGACGTCCTCCACAATTTTCAATCCGATGAGGCGCGTGGGTGTCTGACACATATAGGCCTTTTAAAACGGTATTCTGGCGCTCGCTGAAATCGAGGCGTTGGTGGCTTACGTATCAGCGCCAATTGCTTTGGTGTTTGCAACAAAATCCAGTAGGAACAAGGAGTGTGGCATCAGGACGTTGGGTGGGAAGTGGCAAAATTTTGCGGCGATGATTGCATACACATTTGAAACATTTCTTTAAAGCACTAAACTTGCACATTACCTTGACGGTGTATCGCGATAATGTCGCCCTGGGGAACATGCACATGGACATGCAAGCGGCGCACTGTATGACCATCACGGGCGGCAGCAGCGTCATGCATTGCCCCGTTAGTTTTTCACAGCCGTTGCTTTCTGCTTGCCCCAGGTGGTCAGGGAGATGGCGCATTTGGGCGCCCAAATGGTCCCTGTGACCCTCAATTTCAGCGTTCCCGCCAGCGACGTAGTAAATATCATACTGGCTTCCGAAGCAGGCGCATATTTCGACCAGTGGCTGCGCAGCGACGCGAGCAACACCATGCGGGAGCAGCACAAGTGGCCAGACTATATCCGCAGTGCCAGGTTCATTCCCGCAGTCGAGTACATTCAGGCCAATCGTGCGAGAGTGGGCCTCATGAAGGTGGGGAAATTGACTGCCTACAGTTGCTGTGAAAGCGACCGTTTATCTGGCCGCTGACTCGCGACTTGGCGGCAATCGCTTCTCGGCATTAGGAGTTAATAGATCCGTATACTTTGTGTGTGTTAAACGTTGGATTTCTGTGAACTGATGATAGACACTGCTTTGCTCGGCAAAATAAGAAGCCGACGGCTACCCCATTGCCTTCCTCTGTAACAATGGCTGATGTTGATGGTGCTGACAGAGCCAAGCCTTGCCTGGGATTGCATGTGTGCCGCCGGGATGGATGCGCATCATGTCCCTTGAACTCCGCCCAAACTCGTCGCAAACCCCCTTCGAATTGAACGCGAAAGTTGCCACAATTTAAAGGAGGGCTGCGATGATTGCGATTGCTGCGGCTTCAATTATTGTAGCTGGAGATCATTTGGGACCCTGTAACTTGTGGTATTGTTCTCTCGACGGTGCCGGCCACGGGCGGGCTCGAAAGCTGTGCCAATGCGAGTTCTCTACCAAGGAAAGTGCGCGCATGGCCGGAAGTACTGGACAGTGTGCATTGCGCCCATTTTCGCCGGAAGCTGCTTTGAGTAGAGTTGAACAATGCGTCCCGATAAGAGGTTCACGCAGCAAGTTTGAAGCAAATGCACGGTGCTCACTATGGCGCCGCCTTGAAATGAATTAAAAGCAATGGGGTAGCCGTCAGCTTCCTATTTTGCCCGAGAAAAGCAGTGCCTGTATTCAGCTCACTGAAATCCAGTGTTTAACACAAGCAAAGTCCGTGAATCTGTTAACTTGAAGCGAACTAAAACCTGCCACGGCCAAATTTCTGCAGACGGCGTCGGAATTCTGGACGGCTGAAATTGTCGGGCTCTGCCTGTTGTGCGCATAGGAGGTGAGTGCCAAGCTGGCCGGGCTTGATGCCGTGCTCGTGCCGGCGCGACTGCAAGGGAACCAAAACGGGGTGGGCAACGGCGTGGGCACTCCTCAGGTCGTCTTTCCTGTCGGATTTGAACCAGTGGCTGCCAAGGAAGGGCGGGCATCGAAGAGAAAAGATCCCAAGGTCCAGGTGAGTGCAAGGCTCCCTGGGGTCCGCTTGTGGCGCAAGGGAAGCGCGTCCGCTGACGTGCCCAACATTGAGGGATGATGGTGACGAACATTGATGGATTTGATTGCAGTATGGCAATGATGCTGGTGCAATTTTTCGGGCCACAATATTACAATGTTAATATTGGAAGTTGGCGCCTCGCTCTCATGGATCTAAAACTGGCAACAGGTGACCCAGCAGGCGTTGTGACAGTTGATCAATTTGGCCACATGGTGGGACTCCCATTGTGACACCTGCCGCATCAGTGATGCGGGACTGCCGATGAACTTCGCTCGGTGTAAATACAATTAAGAATCTTGTGAAACTCGGCCAATGCACGAGGCCATTTCACGGAACGCGTGCAGCCAAAGTGCTGTGACGCAAATTGCTGACGTGAGCCCTGCCCTGCAGAAGAACTCGTAACGCCCATTGGTAAACAGCTGAGCATATTCACTTTTGCCTCATCGGTCTAGCCGAACTCACCGCCTTGTCCACACAAGGCGAATGATGTCGCGATTTGTTTGTCGCGCATTACACCCGAATCCAGAAGTCGGTCTGCTGCTCGTGCTTCTGCCAGCTGTCGCCGTGTTCAATCGAAACAACATTGGACGTCGCTGCCTGCAGGCCCTAATCGGCTTGCCATACTCCGACGCCAAGCTGCTGGCCATAGTGTCAGCTTACCAGACAGCCACAACTTACCACCTCAGGCGCCCTCCAATTGACGACGTTGAGGAAGATGTCAGAGACCTCTGCCTCCCCTACAGCAGGTGCTCCCAAAAGGTGTGTATACAACCACGCGCTGGAAGCCGGTCTCTGGGGTATGACGCAGAGCTGTGGCCAACACAGTTTTGGGGCGAGAATCCTTGCAGACGCTATTCCCAGGCAACAGCAATGTGACACCCTTGCGCTTGTGCGGCAATGCCAAATAGCTACGCGATGATTTCGAAAGAAATGAAAATATGTGTGGGATGGAGGTAGTTGATGCGTATCCCTTGCTTGTGAGAGCGTTCTGAGGATAACGGACGGGGCAGTGTTGTGCTTCCCATGCGTCAGCTGTGGCGTCAGGAACAGACTGCGGGAACAAATTTACCCGCTTGCGGCTTTTGTGGGTCGAGCGGCATTGGCGTTGATGCAAGTGTCGAGTTGAAGGCCACGCAGTGTTTCTGGCACACCATCAACTTGACTAGTGGACGGGTCACCGGTGGAAGCACAATGCTGCAGCATGTTCGCAGTCGAAGATTGTAACCAAGAGAATCATACCCAACAAGGGTTGGGCATTGGTTGGCATACGTTCCTTGTCGTCTCCTCGTGGTCGGCCGTTTTGTGAAGCACAGTCTGTTTGTGCAGCACAAGGCATGCAAGTGGGTGACTTCTGTTGTGCATGTGCAGAATGACCGAGAGGATATCAGCGATGATGATGCCGGCGACTTGGCCGACATTGCGGACAACCTCTGAGCCTGGTCAACCAGCGAATGCACTGTTTTTGTGACGTGCGTTCCAAGCGCCATGGGAGGTTGGCGCTGCCCCGTGGCTCCACACGGAGCGGCCTGTGCCGCCGCTTGTGTGGCTCCGGGAAACAGGGTTCAATTCTGGGAGTCTCGTGAGAAAAAATACCTGTATCTTAGATGGTTCGAAGATTCGTTGGAAGTATAGGCGTGCGTGGTGTATCCGCGGACGCTATTTCTCCAATCACTCGTGCAAAGTTAGTCAGGAGGGACATGGGCTGGCAGACATTTGGTGGCAGGTTCATCGCTGCCACATCGGGATTGGGTGAGCGGTGTGTAGTAAGCAGTTGCGCTCCTCCGACGTATAAGAGAGTGGCAGGTAAGCGTCCGTCCAAGGTGCTGCTGGGGGAAGGGGAGAGACAGTCTTGCGGATAGTTCTTGTAATCAGTGCAGATGTGCATGCTGCTTCGCGGCTGCCCGCTGTAAATGTATCTGCAACAACTTGCTGCAGACGAACTGGTGGTGGGTCATTGCGCTGGGTCGACCCAAACTGAATGAGCTATCCGACCTTCGTTATCCTGTCAAGATGGTGCACGGCATTGACCGCGTCTTGGAACGCCATCTGGGCGCACGTATAAGTTTCACTATCAGTTAAAACTTCAAATTACGCTTGTCTGATGTGACCCAAGAAGGCATGGGACTTAACACTTTACATTGAAGATATGCCACAAGAGCGGTGAATGTGTGTTGGCACGGACTGTTGCTGCGCAGCAAGATAGCCGCGGCAGGCGGTGGGAAATCGCACAGAACAATATCTTGGCAGCGGTGCGATGCCCAAAAAGCTTTTAAGCAGAACTGAGCGAAGAAGTAGCGGCAGCTACCTATCAAGGCCTGGAAAGTGGTTCACACAAAGCGCCCCCCCCACCGCCTGTTGATGCACACATCTGGCCCCCAACATTGGGCAGCAGTGCCTTCTGTAAGCGCAGCGAATGGGCATGCAGGTGCATGCAGTGCACATACTGATCCCATCGTAGTAGTGTACCATGTGGGTGTGCAACGGCTTGGTGAGTCGCAACGCTCACCACACCAAGGGAGTTTCTTGCCGGGGTGAGCATTGCCAATCGATATTCAATATCGAGGGTGGCAAACCCGAGGGGTGCCCGAGAGCCAGAGATTACAGGAACGGACTACAACGGCCCAAAGAGACACCAGGAGAGCCCTCCCAAGACACCCTCAAACACCAAAGTCATAACTCCAGTTTTGGGCATTAGGATTATTGCGTGGTTTCGTTGTTCGCGCTCCTTACTCGCGCTCACACACGGTCGCTCCCAGGCACGGGAAGCAAGCCGCGACCAGATAGGTTACAGGATGGTTCTGTCCGTCATGTAGCATTCACTGCAAGCATGTTCAGACCCCGTCTTTCCCCGTCATTCTCCATGTCACCACAATAAACACCATATCCAATTCACCATACTCACTTAACTACTTATACACCTTTTCTTGTCCTCACAAGAATCATTGTAAATTTCACAATTTTGATGACCCCAGTTTGTCCAGATTCGGACCCAGACCGTATCTGATCCTGTTGGATCGCCGTGGCCCCGTGACCTGGCAGGAGTGCGCACACACGCGTTTTGGGCCCGCCGGGAGATCGCCGCTCGCCCTCCCTCCTCAGCCGCTGCAGGCCCACCTGTGCACCCCCCTTGCTTCAAGGCAGGCCTCGGCACAGGCGATCTGGACACAATGGCCCTCAAGTCGCTCGGAGGCTTGGTCGTGGCGCAATGCCGACAGAATTGTCCGCGCGGGCCCGCAGCTGGCGTGGCACGGCTGGGGCGCTCGGGCTTCCGCGGAACGGCGGTGCCGCCGCGTCCCGTGCGGTTGAGCCATCGGCGGATGCTGTTTGGGAGGGCGAGTGGGGTCGTGCAGGTCAGCTGCGTGGTTCGATCGGATGTTGGCGACGCGCATCGTTTAGTTGTCGCTTCGTCGCGACAAGGCTCCCCCCCCCTCCCCGACGGAGACACGGCGGAGTGGCTGAACGCTTGGAGGGGATTGGATTCTATAGATCAATCTGCAGTGACGGTGGATCTTGTGCTGGTGGTTGGGAGCAGGAAGCTGTCCCAGAATCTTTCAACGTTTTGCAGTGGCCCTTGTGCTCTCACAAAACGTCGCAAGAAAACTGGGGCAAGATTGTCCATCCTAGCCTTAAGGGCGTTGAGCAACCCTGCTGCTGACTAAGCAGTTATCTACACTATGTTCAGTGATGATGTCTTTGGGTTTTGTCAATTGTACCATCCAGGTATCACAACTGTGTATGGCATCCTGTGCAAGCATTCTCCTCTGACAGAGGGTTGGATTGTTCAAAGGGGTTCGCCACAATCCATGGCGTTCTTTTGCATATCATTGGTCGCCTGATCCAGGGATAATGCCACAGTTGCTATTGAAAAACAGATTTCATGGTCAGCTGATTGCACAATGGGACAGGCAGCACCGAATGTGATAGACAGCACTAACTGACAGATCTTTCAGACTCTCTGCCGCTGAAGCTTTGTGGTGGCCGTTGTCCTTCGATTTGTAGGCGGCTCTGAAGCAAGGGGACTCACTGGCGGACTACTCAGACTATTTCAGGTGCTGCAATGCCCATTTTCGCCATTTCCCATTTGTCGAACAAGAGTGATGTTGATGTGTGGATACTTACTAGGGATGCATCAGAATCCACATCTGTTTTTGATGAGTGTGGGCGTCGAGTGTATGGACTGTGGAGTTGGGCGAGGCTCTATCACCACACAAGGTTGTACAGATACTGGTTGGATATTGGTCGCTGTGTCTTCCATCTCCAATGTGTAATGTCTTTTTTATCATGTCTTTTTGACAATTCTGATGTCTGGAGCCCAGGTATTGCATGTCCAGTTAGAAAATTTCTCACCAAAGCAGCTGAAACAAAAGATCCACGTCCAGATCTTGGTTTAGTCATCGCCATCAGGAACTTGCAAGGCCCTAATGTTGCGAATGCCCGGGCATTGACAGCCTTGGCCACAACCCACAATGTCCTGGATGCACTCCAAAGGGCAACGGCACTGGGACCACGCCTGTGAGTTAGAGGTCGTGTCAGCTGAGATGTGTAACTATAGAGTGAGAGTTGCGATCTGCACTACAGAAAGCTGAAGAACACCGAGGGTGAGATGGTCAGCCTATCACAGTTCAAGGACAAGGCCCCAGTCGTCCTCTTCTTCTACCCCAAGGCTGGCACACCAGGCTGCACCAAGCAGGTGAGGGTGCTGTGATGAGCTCCCATGTTTTAAGCTTTCAAAGCACATGAGTGTCTGTCCCTCTCACAGGCGAGTAATGCAGCAGTTTCAAATATTAGTCAATGGTTGCATAAGCCCAACCAGGGATGGGCAGAAAAGCAGCAGTGTCTTGACAAATCTGCCGCGGTGCATGTACAATTGCTGCTAATATGTTCCACTTGTGCTGATATGTATGTAAGTCTGGCAGTATTGAGATATACATTACTACCAGTACCAGAACAACGAATACACACGTGCTGCTAGTTCTCATGTTGAGATCGCTCCCTGCATTGAGTGCAAGGCAGCAAATGGTTTGGCTGCAGCATTTTGTATGCAATGTGTTTTGCAGGCCCAGACGTTCCGCGACACTTACAACGAATTCCAGAAGCTTGGTGCTGTGGTATTTGGCATCAGTGGTGACCAAATGGATGCACAGGAAGGGTTTGTCAAGGACAATAGCCTGCCCTATCCCCTTCTAGTGGACGATGGCAACACACTTCGACAGGTATGTCCATTTGCCGCTGCCCCACACAGAGCTGCTATTGCTATTCCATGGTGGAAAAGGCTGTGGGACAAGCTATGCTCATTTGGCTTGCGAAAGCAGCTTTGGAATGGCGCAGACCAATTGGGAATGTGTGGGCAAAGGTCTGCTGTTTGGTACCATCTCTGCCTCCATATTGTACCCTTTTTAATGGCCTTTGGCGAATGTCAGCTTTCTCTTAATTCCCATTCCCTTTTCTGTTTTCTCTTTTATCCTTTTATCCATTTCACCCGTTTTATGTTTTTGTGCCTTTCTTGCTTTTTTCTCCTCTTGCTCTTTCCTCTTTGTTCATTTTTCAGTTGCGATTACTTCAGCATTCATTGGAGTGCAATTCTCGGCAGTGCATTGGCTAGTGAAATGGCAGCAAAGCAGCAAGGGAGCCAAGAGTGCCATTTCCCTATCTGACAGCTCAGACGCTTTCCCTGGAAGCACTCGTTCAGGAGAATGTGCTGCCAGTCCTCATGTGCGTTATTGCTAGTTTAGGGAAACATACAGAACAATGGGGCATTTTGCATCACATTTTCCCGGCATGTTGGTGAAACAATGCAACTGGCGTGGACAGGCTTTTGGGATCAAGGCGGACCTGTTCGGTGCCCTGCCAGGACGGCAGACTTTCGTCATCGACAAGAGTGGCAAATGCGTCCTGTCGTACAACAATCAGCTTCAGGCCGAAACCCATGCCGCAGAAGCCTTGAAGGCGCTGAAGAAGCTGTAGGACAGTTCTGTGCCACCAGGTGGACAGCAACAGAAACCTCTTGTTTCGGTGCTTGGACTTTATGTTGCTAGCAACAGCAGGCTTTCTCTTTCTTGTGCCCTTTGATTCTAAGTTTCTTTCTAGTTTTGCGGCTGCAGCAATGTTGTGGTTCAGAAGCGGCAGCCCAGAAAGTCTCCAAGAGGCACCGGCTCACTGCTTCAGGCATGCAATTGCCGGTAACCACTCTATTCAATGCTCACACAAGCCCATGGAGCTGGAAATATCACATGAAGACGCCTGCACGCAAATGCCATGCCAAATTAAGTTCCCAGGCTTAGAGTTGTTGTTCCGACTTTTCGAGACGGCCAATGGTGAATATGCATGGTTGCAGGTTGCTTCCTGAGACCTATGCACTCGCAATGTTGCCCCTCACAAGTCCCACCTGGTAGACCTCTTCTAGATGGAGCCTGTAGTTGATTGGCAAGCCTCGTGTCATTCCTGCAAGGAGCCATTATGCCAGGCTGGCATTCTTTGTTCTGATGTCTGCGACAGCCTGAAGCTTGGCAGTTGTAGCAGCGCCACTCCCATGGCGAATGGCGGAGCAGCAGGTGAAAACTTTGCAAGCACCATGGCCGCTTGTGTACGGAACCATTCCCAGAGTTGATTGTTCAGAGGTACCGATCGGTTGCCACTAATATGTCGAGAAGGATGCTACCATATCCTCTCAGAGGACCTAATGCCACACAAGGCAGGACATCGGACCGCCAACGCCAGCTGCAGCAACGAAATGCGAAATGCGCCTTTGAGACAAGGGAATGCGAAATTGAGGCAGCACCCGAACATGTTTTGTGTGAACTTGTGCACCTTGAGCACGGGCACACGAGGATAAGAGCACCACCTAGCAGTGTAGGGCCAACATCCCCCTACAGCCGCAAGGGCAGCCTTCTCATATTTAGACCACTGGAACCACCCGGATTCGAGCAGGCATTCAACGACCTTCTTCGGACCTATTCTGGAGTTGCGAGCCGAACTGACGCTGGGAGCTTTGGCCGCTGCTGTAAGGATGCAAACACAAGCAAGAGCCTGTGACCCCAAGCAAAGAACCTGCATCACCAGCTGATCCCCACCCTGGGCCCCAAGGTCCGCGGAACGGGTTCTTCTAGATGCACATCGAGGCCCGGGTGAGCATTAACGGCGTGAATGGGGGCGACGGCGCGGATTGGCGCGCAATCCAACTTTGGGCGGGGGCAACAACCTGGCCTCTGGCACCACCGCGGGGTCCCCCGCGTGGCAATCCAGGAATTGTGTCGGAAGTGGACTCACAGCAGTCACGGCGACCAACTCCAGGGGTTCTCGGTCGGGTTCAAGAGCGAAAAGGGGTCGTTGGGCAACCCCGATGGCAGGACAGCGGTGCCCGAACTTTGGGATCACAGCCGAAGGCTGCCGACTCCGTCTGTCGCCTATGGCCATCTAACAACGCGGAAGCGGGGCAGGACAGGCGCGAGGGCCCCCAAGTGTGAATGAAGGTCGGGAAACTGCCAATGGCGCTTAGCGGAGCACTGTGACACTGATCCCTCGATTCGCCCGCCTAGCTGCACCGACAGCCCCGAATTGGGTTTTGCTAAATGCGCTCGTGCTGATAAGTCATCACGAGGGTGGGGTGTGGCGAGAGAGCGTTGCCGTCATTGCTCATGATTCACCTAGCTTGCGGTTGCGCCATCGATGAGAAAACTACCACGGACGGAACGCCTTGCCTCAATGTGGGAATTTCACTGCTCGGTACTTCATTCGCAGAGGCATTGCCACTTGGGGCTTTATTGCACAGCGTTCACGAGAATACTCAGGAAGCAGGTTAACCTGCACCGAGTCCAACATAGGACGGTCAGGCTACAGATGCCTGATCTTAAACTGAATATTGTTAGGGCTTCTTTCAGGGACACACAAACAGCCACGCCGCTCAATCCAAGCCAAGGGAGTTTGCACTTTCCCTCTAAAGCTCTGCATGGGCATCTCATTGTACCTGCATTTCAGCTGCTAGGGTGCCTTACATGCCAAAAAATTGACACAATTAAATACAGGGACTTGATCAAATCCAAAGTACCCTGATCTTCAACACCTCAAAGGCAATTTTTCTATGTTTGTTCTATACTGTGTTGATCCAAATGAGTAAACCCTAACCTTATCAAAGGACTCATGCTTGCAATGCCTTGACAGGCTGCAAAATCTCAGCTTTTGACTTCCAGATGCTGACCCTGCAAAGTCTCCTCCCTGGAGCAGGTGCTTTTGGCCAGCTGGGGGTTGCCTCATCCCGTCATTCAGGCTTACAGCAACATTGGCATCCAGCGGCTGTTTCCATGGCAGGCAGCCGCAGTCGAGGAGGGCGCAGATGGCAGCAACTTGGTTTTCTCTGCACCGACATCGGGTGAGCCTTGATAGAAAGTCTGCAACATAAGCAATGAGAAACCCTGGTGGACAACACTCTCATTTGGGACCCTGCACATATGTTCATGAACAGGCACCATCATCGCATGAAAGGCGAATGGGCAGTGTTCTGGCATGTTGTGCCAAGGATGACGACCGCAGTTGGAGTGAATGAAGCTTAACAAAAATGTGGTGGAACGTTGTGGGCATTTCAGGCGTCTCTGTATTCGTGAAGTGTCTTCTCAAAGTGTACATTCGTACAATGCCAAATGTACAATCCACTATGCTTGGTCACTGCAGCCCCCACAACAATATGGAGCTGGCTGGCTGCACCTCACTGAGTGAAAGGTGACTAATGCAAGAGTTCACAAATAGAAGCAACCGAATGCAGTGGCTACAGGTAGGGTCAATTTGATGCACAACAAATGTGCAAAGGGGCCAAACCGCTGTCCTGACACGACTGGCGGCAGACCCTTTGAGAGGGAATGGGAACTGAAAATGGCATGATGTCAATCCATCGGCTCAATTTACGCCTGATGTTGGCTGCGTCGCATGGATGGTCGTCAAGAAGGGGGCACTTATCACTTCATTTACACCGCATTTTCATTCTGCCAGGGGGAAAGAGCTTGGTGGCAGAGGTATTGCTCATCAGGCGACTGCAACAGAAGAGAAGAATGGGACAGTCCTGGAACCGAAAGGTGGGTTGTGCGAGGGTTGCACACATGCACCTCCTTTACAGTCATAACCCATATCCAGTTTCATGACAGTCAGTCTCATATTCAATATCCATCGCTGTCATGAATCTCTCCCTACAGTGTTTTCAAGAAGAACACAGATATTTTCTTAGATTCCACAATTCTGCTATGCATTGTACATGAGCAGTTTCTTCACATTGAGCATGGAGCAGCATGATTATGTCAAATCCTGTGTCAGATACTCTGTGCATCAGTGTGCTATCACTTGTGCATAGGCAAGTCCTCCCTCAAGTTTTGCCAGAGCCATGATGCCAATAGTCTTTTCAAAGCATGCATTCACCAGATGCTCCTGAAACAATTCATCAACCACTCGTTGACCAAAGATCCAACCACGTGAGGCGTTGTTGTGTATGTCTGTTTCAGATCTTTGGACGTGCACTCTTTGTCCTTCCCTACCTGAGCGTTGTTGCAGAAAAGGCAGCACACTTGCAGCACATTTTGGGGCCCATGGGCTGCAAGGTTAAGGGATACAATGGATCCGTCACAGGAATGCCATTGGCACCAAGGGTGAGGCAGTGTAGATCTGCACTGTGTGATGTGGTCTATGCTATAGTGAACAATGTCAATGAGAATTCATGTATGAATCATGCAATGCCAGCCCTTGCTTGTTTATTTGGAGTTGTTCAGCGAGTGACAACTTATCATTGATACTGGACGTTGGCATGCACCCCATTCGCCAGCTGACTGGGACACAGTGCGTGGCTATTGGTTGGTTGAAGATGCTGCATTTGATACCGTCGGCTGCAGTTACGGCTGTGCTTGAATGCGGGTGGTGTGGATAGGCGACTACACGGCTGAATGTTGGATGGGTACACTTGGCATTATAGGGGGAATCGGTGGCTGTGTGCACACATGAGAAGGCCAACATCGTGATAAACCAGCTAATACAAGAAGCACGCCTGCATGAGTTGGTGTCAGTCATCATTGATGAAGTGCATATGTTGGGCGACAAGGACAGGTAGTTGGCGCACATGTTCTGCTCTACTAGTTGCTGTCAGCAGCTAAGCTGAACTGATAGGAGCAATGCACATGTGTACATTCCAGCTGTTTCAGCATGCAGGGCTATTCCAGCACAACAACTGTGGCAAGGGACTCCCACAGACCAGTTACAGTTTGAGGACCAGGATTTTCCGGCAGCGTTGAGGGTTTCTTGCTCAGAGTAAAACGCCATTGCATGTTCTGGCGTATGCTCATCAGTAGCGTATTCAAGCCATGTGATAATATTGAAGCGTGGACACAGTCCTTCAGACGTTGCCTGTCATTTGTGTACCTGTGTGATTGTGCATCTGTGTGTGTCTGTTCAATTCTTGTCCAGCACTGGATGCAGCATTGCCACTTGCCATCCCATCCTCATCACCCAGATTGCAAATTTGCGCATTGCTGCTGTGTTGTGACCATCACCCTGCCAAACACAAAGCGATGGTTGTCATATTCTGACACTTTCTAACGGCAGATGGGCGTTGTGTTTGCAACAAACATTTTGTGCGGATGGCTGCAGGGGCATTTCCCTGGAACTTGGCATCACAAAGCTTCTGTACTCGCAGCATGGGCCCTCCACCCAAATCGTATGCATGTCTGCAACGGTGCGGGGACTAGAGACCCTTAGGCAGTGGCTCCAGGCTCGCCTGTTTGTGACCAATCACCGGCCTGTGCCCCTCATCCAGCATGCCGTCTTTGACGGACAGGTGTTTGAATTCAAGCCACCACCTGCAGGCACCCCTGGGGACACTGCTCCTCTGAAGCAGGTCTGGTTTTGCGCTGCGTGGGAGATGCACACATTCGTGCATACTTTGCTTGGTGATGAGGGGGATGGCACTGCCTGGCTCGTGTGACGATTTCCTAATCTTTGAGACCATGGACAACCTTGGTTTGCAGCAGTACCTTTTATCTAGCTGTTCCCTGTGACTGGGAGGTGACACGGAATGCGCCTTCATGACTGCCTTGGGTCAGGATATGCTACCGTTTCACCTATCAGGCGATGTCGAACATTTCCACTTGTGGTCCTGACGAGGCTTTAGCTCTCATTTTCCCCTGCTGCAGATCCGGGACCTGACAGAGTCCATCCTGCCAGATAGAGACAGGCTTGTGCCTCTGGTTGCAGAGGCAGTTGCCCGCGGGGAGTCTGTGTTGGTGTTCTGTGGAAGCCGTGCACACACCCAGAGCTGTGCAAAGATGGTTAGCGAGCTGCTTCCACAGCAGTTGCCAGAAACTGGTGGTTGTGAGGAAAGCAGGCAGAGCAGGGTGAAGCTCTTACAAGAGTTGCAGGTGTGGCGAAATGAGGTGTGGTAAAGTGAAGTGTGGTGCAATGGTCTGCACCGCAGTATGATGATGCTGTACAAAGGTCTCAACACCCTTATGCAACTAGGTTCGCCTACAACATTATCACAAGCAGTTGTGCGAGTGTTATGCAAATCTGGCAAGTGGGTCAAGCAATTTGAACTTGCCTCGTGGGAGAATATGACCTTGCACCTCATCAGGTATCTCAAACACTATCTGGTGCTTGGGCATGGTGTGATGCGGAATCTATGGTGCACTGTATGTACTCCACTCTGCTTTGATGTACCGCAAAGCTTGTCGTGCTGTGCAGTGCTGTTCAGGGAAGTTAGGTAAAAAACAGGCACCCTTCTCTTTGATGGTGCCAAATGTTTGCCACCTGCTCTGGAGGATGTTAAATCCTCACAACACATCTCCTGTCCAACTCCATTGGGTGCTGTCCAGCAAACTGTATGCATTCTGCATTACTGGGGGAGCTATAGTTCTGTTGCACAGGACTACAGTACCATCTTTCACAAATGTGCACTGAAAATCCTTGTAGGAGTAAATGGGAATGTAGAAATTGAAGAGGGAAAAGCATGCCACCCAGCGACCAACCACATAACACCAGCCCTGCACTGTCGCAAAGGTGCTTTGACCTGTCCTATTTCCGTCAAAATACATAAACAAAGCATCTGCACACACACACACATGCCCACACACGCGCTCCATTTTAAATTTTCATGTTTGTGGCGACCGTTGTGTGGACACTCTGCATATAAAATCTTGTGGCCCACAGTGCATTGCAGGTGCAATGTCTGTGTTTTCACTCTTCAACAAATGCAGTCCAACGATTTACACGGTGCATTTCAGGCTGATGTCCCACAAAATTTGTGGGTATCCACAGGATGCATTGTGCGGTTACTCGAATCCCTTGCTGCAAGACCTGATTTTGAGTGGAGTCGCCTACCACCATGCTGGCATGCTGCTTGAAGAGCGTCGCTGCATGGAGGCAGGCTTCCGTTCAGGTGCCCTGTCTGTTTTGGTGGCCACCTCGACGCTTGCGGCTGGTGTGAACCTCCCAGCAAACAGGGTTATCCTTCGGAGCCTGTGGCAGGGGGGCCAGATTGTGAGCAAGACGATGTACCTGCAGATGGCGGGCAGGGCTGGACGTGCTGGCTTGTCAACCCGTGGGGAGTCGTACATCATAGGCAGGTGAGAGTTGGCTGGTGTTTTGTCCCATTCGATGGTACCTTAACAGAAGCAGGTCTGTGGGTTTATTATCTCACTCGGTGATGGGCCAACAACAGTTGGGTTGCTTGTCTTGCTGTCTTGCTCAATAGTTGCCAAACAAGGGCAGAGCTGCATCACTGTCAAACATGCTGCGCACCACAACATCACAATCGTCTGTCTATCCAGGGGCAAAATGGAATGCTTGAAACACCTGACACGAGTGGCTGCAGAGTGTGGGAGACAAAGTGTTTGCATTCACAGGACACTGGCTTTTTTGGGGAAAGTGAAATGCTGAAAAGGAAGGGACAGGCTATCGTGCAGGTTTTGAATTGACAGGTCCTGTGTGGCCCCCTTTGTGGCTGGCTGACAGTACCCCATTGCCTTCTTGTATGCTTGGAAGATTCCCCAATACTTGGCAGAGAACCTGAATGCGCCTTTGTGGATGCCAGTTTCATCTGTTGGCAGGCATCAGATTCTAACCAGATTGTCGCTGGTGTGCTTGCCCTTATCGATATTCATTCGGTCGTTGCCTTGACGTAAATCGATGAAATGCTGAAAATCAACTGGCAAGCTGTACCTCTGTTGCTGCTCGCCTAGCGGAGTTCTGTGCAGTCCAGGGGCTTTGCAGATGATGCCAACCAGGAGTGGCGACAAGTATGCAGCCTGCTCACAGAGCCTCTGCCTCTCCTGGAAAGCCAGCTGGCACCCAGCCTCTCAGATCCAGCATCAGAACTGGACGTTGTTGGCAAAAAGGAACTCAACCATTTTTGCAAAATGCTGCTGGAAGTTATAGCGAATGGGTCCGTTCGGTCCGGCCAGCAGGTGGAGAGAGTCATAAAGAGTAGCTTTTTGAGTCATCAGGTGAACAGCAATGCATGGATCAGTATCACCTGGCAATTAGCCTCTGAACTGTTAATCATTTGTCTATCTCTGTTAGGCTCACTCAACTGCCAAAGTATGGAACTGCCATACTCTTCAAATACCTGATGCTCTGTGCTTTAGTTGGCTGGACAGCATTTCTCTAGGAACAAGCCATACTTGTTTTAACAGGGAGAAAATTTTGCCCGGTCGCGCACACAGCGAAGGCATTGCTGGTGCGTTGTTTGCATTTGCCAAGACAGATTCTATTTGTGGATCACTCAAGTGGGAAGCAGCAGAAGTCTCTGCATTGGATGGGCATGGTTGCTGGATAGGAATGACTCTTGGGGCTGACTGCTGCCAAAGATGCTGCCTTGCCTGATGGTGAGAGCTGTGGGCTCTTACATTTGGGTTGTTTTTTTTCAGCTGAAAGCTCTGACACATAGGAACCAAGTGGTTGTGGTTGGTGGCAAGATCGCAATTTGGTTAGCTAATTGCAATGTTTTTTTGTCATTTCAGATCCTTCCACTTTCAGATTTACTATCAGAACCTGAACCTGTGAATTGTAAATGTTGATGACAACCTCCTTCATTTCGAAAGATTTTGCTGTTGGCAGCTCCTTAACACAGCCATTTCGTGCAACAGACCCCTTATGAGCTTTTGCACAGAGTCACCAAAGGATCCCTTGGTGCTTTGAGGGATGCAAAGCTCATATCACTGGTGGCCGACAGCAGCAAGACAACAAAGGAGTCGGCAGCTTGGAAGCCAACAGCGATGGGAAGAGCCATATTTGCCAGTGGTCTCAAGCTCAATGATGCTGTTGTCCTTTATCAAAGACTGAAGAGCGCACAAGGCGGTCTTGTCATGGGTGACATGACACACCTGATCTACACACTGATGCTGGAACGCCCTGTTGACATCTATGACTGGGAGCAGTGGGGCCAGTTGTTCAGACGTCTGAAGTCCACGCAGAGGTGACCCTTTGCTCAATCTTGTGGTGCACAAAGCGCAGACGTTGCCGACGTGCATGAACTGCAGTGCAGCCTTTCAGGGGATGCTCTTGGACTGCAGCCCCCTCCTGTACCGCCAATTTGAACTCCCAACTGCTGTTTCTGTAACTCTTTGAAGTGTCGATTTCAAAAGTACAAATTTCTTGTGTTGTGCTGCACTGCTGCATGTGCTTGCTCCTTGCCAATACTCACATGTCTCTGGAGACTGTATGCAGGTGGAATTCTGCTTCTGTGGCATTTAATCGGGGCAAAATATCTTGCCCCAAAACATGCATTTTTCAAGGCAAGGATGGAATAACTTTGCATCCACGAGTGCCTTTAGAGGCACAAACATATCCTGCAGCCTGTCCTTTCAAGTTGTGTGGCCTCATTGGCGCCTTGTGATCTTTTCCTGTCAATAGGGAAGCTGCAAAGCGCATAGGGGTCTTTCAGGAAGACATCGAGGCTGTGTGCAGGGGTCAAGGAGTCAAGGAAGAGATCTCAACCAGGCACTCCTGCTTTGCGGCATCGTGTGCAATTGCCGATCTGCTCCAGGAACGTGCAGTTCAGCAAGTGGAGGAAATTTGGGGGAAGTGCGGCGAACCTGCGGCCATTCTTAAGGGTGGTTTGTCTGCTGGTCAGCTGCAGAAGCTTCAATCCGATGTTGCCAAGACGGCTGCAATGGCATCTTACATGTGCCAATCTGCTGGTGGGAAATGTGCATAACCACAACAAGTTGAGGTCTATGAGCATTGTGTTGTTCATGGTGTGCAGTGTTTCCACCTCAGGGAGATGTCCATAGCAACTTTCACAGTGCGGAACAGAGCCTCAATGCCTGTTGCACAGGAGAGTGTGGGGGTGGGGGGGGAGAGGGGGGGGGGGGAGTCCCCTTTGTATGTGTCTTCGCCATTCTACAGTGAATCCTTTAGCGTAACAGGGATTTGAATGACAATGTGGATGTAGTAATGCACATCGTTGACTAGAAAGCAGCCTCTTTCTGACAACTGGAATACGAGGATTGACAATATGCCAGCAACCTGGCAGTGAATGAAATTCTACATCCTTGCAGGCAGCATGCAAAGTGCACATTCATTTTGGCCCGTGCCTCTGCTGAACTCAGATGATCAGGCAGTATCAGTTTGGTGGCAGTCTGCAAGGACCTCACATTTTTGGGCGAAACACTGTCCTGATGCCCAGTGTCATCAGAAGTTTGGGCCTTGCAAATATGAGCCTCCCTGTGTGAGTCGCACACTGTGGCTCATATTTGCAAGCCGTATTGGGTGCAACAGCAGCTGGTTATCCTGCTTTGCTGCGCACTGTCAATGCAGAATTACCCTACATGTGACTATCGATCTCCTGCTGGACACCTGCAGGCTGGTGGCAGCTGGACACCTTGACTTCCCTGCTGGCACAGCAAGCATCTGTGGGTGTGCGGCCCGACCTGCTGAGTCTTATGCGCATCCCAACGATGACTGCTGCCCGAGCGCGAGCGCTGCATGACAGGGGCATCACCAGCCCTGAGGCTCTGGCCGCTGCGTCCGTGGATGCCATCGAGGCGGCTGTGGAAGATGTGTTGCCGAACAACTTGAAGAGGCAGAGCAAGAGGGCGTGCATGGAAGGGCAACGGGGTGCATGTGTGGGCCAGCCTGGCGTTCGTGCACTGGTGCAGAGGGCAGCTAAGCGGCTGGTGGAGGACACATGCATGTTGCTGGTTGCCAATGCAAGGGAGGCTGCAGAGGAAGCACGGGCTGTTGTGCAGGAACTTGCGGATGTGGTGGGTGCTGACTGGTGTGCTGGTGGATATGATCGCAGGCCTGCAGCATTCGCTAATGTAAGGAGCGCCATGAGTTTCAGAACTGCAGCGCACTTTGTCATCCATTGGTGCTCCATGGATGCCTTCTGCCATGCCACAAGGAAGTCAGACAGCTAATATTTGCGGAATCACGGTGGCTATTCTCACGAGCGCAGTGCCGCAGCGAACAGAAACAATGCCAAATACTGTGCACTAAAGAACATTTACCAACAGCACAGTTCTGCCATTTTACAACTTCCATCCAGGATGTGCGGGGAACAAGTGAAGCATGTTCGAAACTCAATAGATGGCCCTCTTTACCCTGTGTTGGCCTCTCTGATGCTTTAACACTTTGAGTTCGCTTCGTTTTTGCACTTCTGAATTTTTCTGCAATTTCTGTTTGACCAGGACAAAGTTGCACAAGGCACAGACTCAAGGGACCCGCAGATCGTCAGCTGTCTTGTCCCGTCGGGTGGCACAGATGTTGGGCCGCCTCGCCAACATCATTCCTCTGGTGCCTGCCAAGGCCACGTCTCTGTGCAGCAGCTGTCCATCCATTCCAGCATCGCTGCCATAGTGCAGTTCATGGAGGCATGGGCCAGTGCCCCTGTGTTTTCATGGTGCTTAGTCCACACTGCAGGCGATGAGACACAGTGTGACGATGCCAACATGCCGCTATGTGCCACTTTTCAAGATGCAGGGCCTGCAGAGCAGGGACGGCTGAAGCCAGTGATCGGGATTGCCGTGTGCTTTGATCCTGGCCACGTTGTGTACCTTGATCTCACACACAAGGCCGAAATGATTGAGGAAAGGGTGGTTGCAGAGCACATGCTGTGGGCAGGTGTTGGGCGCGTATTTTCCCAGGACAGTGCCTGCAAAGTTGGCTTCGGATTGAGGTGGCAGCTGACTGAGCTGATGTTGATGAACGTCTTACCCAGGGCACCACTGTGTGACATCGGTGTCGCGTATGCACTGCTGCACCCAGAATTACAGGAAAAGGAAGGGGCCAGGCTTCATTCAATCTTCAACAGCATGGTCAGGTGCTCGTCGTCAAAGCACTCCTACCCATTGGCCATTCTCAGCTCTGACAGTTTGACTGAGTTTCATTGCTGCCACAGCGCGATGCCAGGCATCGCTTGCAAGGTGCAAGTGGTTTGTCTTTGAAGCCAACTTGAACAAAGAAGCTTGGCTGTCTTTGAACCTAGAGCCTGTTCTTTGTGCGTTTGAATCTGAATTTGTGACAAGTCTGCCCATTTGGGGGTGCTGATGTTTGTTACGGGCATGGGATCAATTAGTTTGACTGTACACATTGGATTTGAAGCTGTGCAAACACACTTTGCTTTGTGTAAAATGATACACTAAATTCGATTGTACTCATTGGTTCTTGTGACATTGCAAATGTGGAATGCATGTCAAATACATTTGACTTGATGCCACATATGCACTAATGTTCTGTATGTTGCATCGCAGGCGCACGTTCTTCTTGCAGCCACTGGCACAGGCGTCAGTTGCCCAGGCATGTCAAGAAGCTTACATGTCATTTCTGCTGTTTCAGCCAGTCATGGACGTCTTGACACAGCAGTGCAGTCTGAGATGCTTCCAAGAAGTGGAGATGCGGTGCCTTTGTGCCCTTGCAGAGATGTCCGCTGTGGGCCTCAACTTCCATTGGACGTGCACTGAGGTGATGGTCGACTGCCTTGCTGCCGCATGCACAACAGCATCAGGAGCCTTGGCCTTCATTCTCAGCTGTGCAGTTGACTTTTCAACAATGGAAGGAGCTGGGCTTGTTCTTGCTAGGCTGGGTGTGCATGTTCCAGGCAGTATGCGGAGGCGTGGTGATTCACAAACTACCTGGTACGAGTCTGTGATTGCTGCACTTGAGGGCGTGCTGGCTAAGGAAGCAGATATGTACAGTTTTCACAGCCGCAGGCTGTGTGTATACTGGGCTCTGCAGGGGCTGTCTGCTCAGCGAGCTTTGGAAATGTGGAGAACCATTAAAGATGGGGCGTCTCAGCATCGCTTATGCCCATGGGTCCAGCCTGCTGCTCCCTTTGGTAGGCTGGAGGAAAGGGTGGGAGCGGTTTGCAACGTGCTGAAAACGCTGCAAATCTACCACGCCTCTGTTCAGAGGAGTAACTTGTCAGTACAAGATGAAATCACGCTGGGCTCGTTGTGCCCCAGCTCGTTCCAAGGGCATCTTACCCCAGTGGTTATCCAACAAACAGAAGGGCCTCTGAGAGTGGGCTGGCTGCATGGTGTCACTTATGAGGGCCCAAGAAGCGACGAAGCTGCTCGTCATTTCGGTTGGCAGACTGTCTGGCTGGCGTCTGTCTCTTTTGGATCTCCAGTAGCTTCCACATGGGATGATGGCCATGGCATGCGTGGTACAGATTCCAGATTGGTGCCTGCCAACTGTGTCTGGCTGGTTGCCACATCAACAAATTGCACCCCTTGCTGTCCGTCCATCTTGGCCAAGGTCTGTGAGGCTAACCCTGTGTCACCACGACCATCATCAACTGAACAGAAGCACATGCATGGAACCGCATATGGCTTGCCATGTGTATCTCCGATGAGCTTCGGGGCACATGTGCGTCCCTCGTCGACTTCCAGGGCCTTCGTTCTGTGCAGCTATTGGCTGCTGGAGCTCAGCGTCCTTGCACACTTGAGCAATGACGGCACACTGCTGGCAGCGATGGCAGCCTCCGATCCCCTGCAATATCTGGACCAGACGGCTGCATTGGACCCTGTCAGGAGGACGTGTGCAGGACTCAGGAACTGGAAGCACCCGTCAGTTGCTGACAGCCATGTTATATATGATCGAGCTAGGAGTGCTCCCTTAGTGTTTTCTCAGATGATTATGGGCATGCTGCATTCCCTGGTGTATGGATGGAGCCCCAAGCAGTTGAGCTTGTCTTTGGGGACATCTCGCAGCCAAGCCCTGAAGCTTATGGCTGCGCTGTTTGATGCACTTCCACAAGTTAAGGAGTGTCGAGATAATCTGATGGCTCTAACCAAGAGAAAAGGGTATGTGGGACAATGGATGCGTTTCTGGGGTGTGTTGTCTCTTTTACTTTCACATGGGCTGGAAGCACCCTGGAACAGTGTCTGGCACTGAAGCAGGGCATCGACAGCCCACATACGTTGTCTGGCTCCTCGTGAAATTTCATTTCGCAACTGCCATGTTAAGATCGCACTGTTGTCTTGCAGAGACAATTTCTGTGTTCGTTGCCATGATGAGCAACTTGAATGCAAGCCTTTTTTGAGGAATGCACAGCTGGCACAGCCGCTGTCCTTTCTCCATGGGATAGTCGTGACATACATTCTTTGTGCTATTTTCATGAACCAAAGAACGGGTGGTCTGGTACTGCTGGTATACCTTCCCAAACTTCGTGACAAGCAGCCGATCGTCAGTTGCAGTCCAATGTTGTGAATGATTGATTCCAAATCGCCATCCACTAATATGGTATTGTTCTGCATGTGTGACAGGTTTGTCCAGACTGTAACAGGCCGCAGGTTGTATTGTCCCCAGCTTTCAAGCTCAGTGCCTCAGCAGCGTGCTCAGGCAGAGAGACGCATTTTCAGTCATGCATGCTCCGGCTCTGTGGCGGACATAATCAAAACAGCACTCACAGATCTGCACCGCCTGTTCAACGACCCAGAACCAGATCAGCACCCCCTGCCTGTGCCACATCCAGCATTGACGACGGGGGCCATATGCCCTTTGTGCCATGGCAGTGTTGGCAATGCGCAAAATCCAAGGGGCCCTGGTAGCAAAGGGAGTCCTCTGCACACCACACAGCCTTGCTGCAGTGACGTGCAGAGGATGGATGCGACTACAGATCCGAAAATGGAACATCCTTCCAGCACCGCCCTAAATGATGCACAGATTGGCTCAGTGCAAAGCAGCAGTCTCAAAAGGACAGCACACTGGGATTGCCACAGAGCAACGCAACAACGTGGAGGAGCTTCAGAGGGTGTTGGGCCATGTGAATATGGGCCTGAATCTGGAGGATGCAATTCAGAACGGGGTCGTTTGTCGGGTGCGCTGTTCAACTGGCACAGGAATTCTCCAAGATTGGTGTATGCGTGCGCAGACATGATTGTAGTGGAGTGCGCTGAGGGCGCAATGGAGACAGTGGGCTCCTTGATTGAGGACAGCCTGACTGTGCAGACAAGCGACAAACTTGGACTACAGGCGCCCATCAGGGCATCCATATTTTGGGGTAGGGATCTGGATGCTGGAAGGTGGCGGCGATTGGTTCTGTCCAAATGAACGCGGCCGCACAACAGCGCTTAGAGTTAGACAGCACTTAGACGCCCATGTAGCAACATTCTTTTGTACAGTGTAACGAAATTCTTTCCTGGCGTGTGTGCCAAATTGCTGGGGTCGGATCTTAAGAGCTGTCCGCTGTTGGGAAGTGTTGTCAGAGCGCCATGCTATGTTAGGAAAAGTGGCGTGGCAGGCTCTTCTGGGCCTCTTTATCTCTGTGTACATCTCAAAATTTGCATGCATCAAGCAGCATGGAACGTATTCAGCAAAATACATGTGGACGTTCTGGCCGTGGAGGCCATTTCCTGCAGGTTATTTAAGGCGAAAAGTCAGTGTGTATTAACGTGTTTATACGTAAAACCGCACAGAACAGTGGCAACATGCTTCAGACATGGGCCCCCCTGCAGGGGACACACTCGTTGCCAGAGGAAAATAGGACCCCAGGGACCCCTGCCGCAGTCTGGCACCAGCTGATGCCAGACATTTTTGCAGGGACCGCGCAATATCAGAGGATCAGGGCAGTTTGGGACAGGGCTGTCGACCTCCCTCGGCCCAGAGCGTCTTCGCCCCCTGCTGTCCATCGACGGTTTCATGTACAGAGCTCATTTTCTGTTTGATGTCAGGATACGCGCCCCGAACTTATTAAGTTATTAAACGGAAGCCAAGGACGCGCAAACTTGGGAGCTGAATTCGGGTTATCTACATGACAAAAAGGCACTGGATCATGCCCTACTTCCGATGCCGTACTGTGTGCAACCCTTCGGTACAGCGAAGCGACGTACTGCCTTGTTTTGCCGATCGACGACGTACTGTGGCGACGCTCATGTCGCTAAATGGAAGAGAATGGCAAGAAGCGACGCAACAACTACTGAGGCGCCATGCGGACACTGTTCGTTGCGATTGCGCCGGGGGCTATCTGGGCCGAAGTTTGTCCGATACGTATCATTCTTGGATATGAAGGGGCTGAAGCGGTCATGAAGGGTGTGAAGGCCCTAAAAATTGGAATCTGAATGACATTAACTATCTTGTTAATAGATTTCCACCCAGGACGACGTTGGGTGGGTTGCGCCGAGTTTCGAATCGGGCGCAATCGTATTCAAACGGGTTTCTGGCTCTTCCTAGTACCTTGGGTCAGTCAAAGTACGGAGTGTCCAAGGGTCCGCCCGTTTTGGCGGCTTGGACTTGGCGGGCTTTGGCGGGGCTGAGCGGGGGCGGCTATTTAGGCTCCCCCCTCGGTCACCCTCCTATCTTGTTTCACTTCGCGCCACTTGTTGGCACAACCCGAAGGCACCGAGTGCCTTGCCCTCCCCGGCCGTCTTGGCCGAGTTCTTTCTATGAACCGGACACCTGCGGAGCAGTGGCTGCAAGAACAAGCCGTCCGGTTCAACGACGGTCCGCCTACGGCTTCTCTCGACGCCGTCTGGCTACCGGACCCCCGGCTCCTTCAGCGGTCTGTCACCAACCCGGTGGTCCGACCTCCGGGGGTCCGTTTTCGGTTGAGTTGAGGGAGAAAACGGGACGGAGTGGATGGCAGTACGGGAAAGGGTGACTCAGGGTTTCTGTCACGGGAGAAACGTGAAGTAAAGTACGGGCGAAGCGAAAGGGCAAACTATTAAGTACGGGGACCTCGGGTATGTGGAGTTGTCGGTGATGGACACCTTTGTTGTAATGTTTTGTCGTGTGGGGAACATGACCGGGTGGGTTCAGGAGACCGGTCAGGTGGAAACCCGAAAATGACCTCCATCACCTTGAAAACCTTCATGGCCTCAATCTTTGGAAACATAAGGTATCGGACGTTTGTGTCTGGGGCGTGTAGCGCAGTGATGGCCGCAAACGGGCAGCGGCCTTGCTGGGCAATGCAATTGCAGCACGGTGAATGGGGACGCCCCTCCATGCCCCTCCCCTGGGGCCAATGTGTCTGTGCCCGTACGGAGCGGACATGAGCCGCACGACGATGGCGGATCCACTGCCCATTTGAAGTTCAAATGCATCTGCAAGCACCCACGGCTGCGTGATCCCCTCCAACGCCGGTGTTTCTACATGACCTCTTTTCCGACTAGTTCTTCGTATGTTTCCTTTCAAAAGGGAACCCTTTGACCCGTTTTCAGGGACCCCTTCTAATTTGCACCTGCGGCCCCTCCAATCGCGACGCCATGCAAAAAGAAATTTGGTCGATGCACATGGCAAAGATTGCCGCGCAATGACGTTCCCAAAAAGAGAACAAAAATCCAAATACCGAAGCGATACCTGCTACGCATTTAGTATTCTACGACAAAGCCCTGCAGGTATAGTTGCACCTTTTCCTTCTTATAATTTGCATGGTATATGCAGCGACAAACCTGCATTTCCCCAAAAACACGCGCTTGGCAGGAAAGCAGGGACATTCACATGACCCAAAGGGAACGTTCCCGAGCCGATCCTCGATTCCATTCGCAAGGCAGAAACTCTGCTTTCAACACGAACAGGAACACAAGAACACATATTCTTCAGTGTCGCATGGTCAGAGCAGTGTACCCCAGAAATTAGGTCGACCAGTAATCAATTCCACATGTAAGCCGGGCAATCAGCGACATCCTCTGATCGTATGCATCTACACAACACAGCCATGTCCAATTTTCTTGCCGCACATCCTGAAGGAATGTTGGTCTGGGCGCCTCATTCACACAAAAGCATACCAGCAGAACACGGGCATCCAACCCAATCTGCTGCGTCCGGCACCGCCACTGGTGCAATAGAGCCGCTCCCCGTCTCTCTTCGCGACTTCAACTCAACACAATGACGCAGCCGCCCTGTTGAAGCCTTCGCCCATGGAGACGCCTCCATCACGCCATTTCAGCAGGCGCAGGCGCCTCCCTGCGCAGCTGCCCAAGGTCCCCACCCCTGGTGCTCCCTCTCCAGCCACGCCTCCACACTCTTGGAGGAACCCGAGAAGCCACGTTCCCAGCCCCGAACGCCACCGCTAGCTCGTGTACATAGCCGCGTAGTGGGAGCTCAATCGCGCCCTGCGTGCCGCCAGTGTGCTCTTCAGCTCATCGCCAAAACTGAGAGTCCTCGCGGGAGGTGCCGTCAGCTGAGCGGAGGCCGGAAGGGAGTGCGCGTGCGAGAGGCGCGCCATGTCCGTCGGGCGGGGGGCCTCAAAATCGTCCTCGTCCGACCAGGCGCCGCCCGCGAGGCTGGGCGTAGACCCGGCAAACGGAATGGAGCTGGCCGTATGGGAGACGGGCGCGCCGGCCTGCCACAAGCAAACAGTTGGTGCCTTTACAGCATTCATCTTTGTAGAACTTAGACACGAACAGAGTCATATTATGTGTAAATAGACATGGCTAGATTCACGCCATTGCATGCGGTGTGCCAGTGTTCCTTGCCCGCACAAAAGAGACGTTGTTGCCTGTGACCCAGGCCCACGCCCTCGGAGCGATGGTGCGCGGACTGGGCTTCACTCAGATCGAAGAGTGCGAGCGGGCAGAGGTGGGCCAAATTGAAATGGGGATGGGGAAAATGTAGACCTTAACAAAACTGTGGAAGATGATCGCCTTTCGACCTGCGCCGCGTGACGAAAGGGATCCAATTTGTCATCAAGCCGTGTTACAATGTGTGGCTGCTTTGATTATTCAAAAGGTGGTCATAATTATGGAAATTTACAATTACAAAATGTGAAAACCAGCCACAAAATTTGGGAAATTTGTCTGGAAGTAATAAAACACAGCTTCGCATTTGCAAGACAGTTTCCTACACGAATTCTCCTGCACATGCTCTCCAAAATATGGTGGCCCTAGTTCCAAGGCGTCCTTTTGTTGTTTTCCTCATCGCCAATGACGGGCGAAAGAAATTTCATTGAATTCCTTGAGTGTCCGGCGCTGATGCGGACGGCAGCCATTTGTAGTATTCCATCCTATATCTGGAAATGATAAGGAGCTCTTTGCAGCACGTCTTGGTGCATTCTACTGAGCACCTGCTCTTAAGGATCAACGAGCTGCAAAGAGCTGCGTGGCACACAGCATTCGGCATGTTCAGCTTCCTGTGTGCAGCGCCCCTGACTGCTCTTTCCACCACTGTGCCATGATGGCTACTGCAGCCATATCATCAACACCTCAACACCGACAGCGCTTTGCCCACAGACGCTAGTGCTTCATTGGTACAGCAGGTTCCGGTGCAGAGACCAAAGCTTCAGTCCAAGTGCGGCATATTCCTGATCGCAATGGGTGGCGATTGTGCACTTGGCCAAGTGTGCCTGGATCCCCAGGCCGACGGCGACAGCGCGAAATTAGTCGCTCTGTCTTCTCCGTGAAAATCCTTTCTTGTTTTCAGACATCCTAACAAACCCTAAACTACTGACCCGCTGACCGGCGTTGGCGTTGTCAGCGGAAGAAGAAGGGACCTTCAAGGAAAAGACAGAGGGACTAATGCATGCTCTGCCCAGGGCGACGACGACCTTTGCCAAGAAAGTGACGTCTGCGCCACCCACAGTCGTCACCGATAATACCCGCCCCTTTCAAGGCTGGTCACAGAGAACCCGCCCCTCTCCGTACCTGGCTCGCCGCCGGCCGCGCGCCCCGAGTATCCGGCCCCGCGTCCGTCCCCCTTGCTCCGCCGCCGCCCAGGGGCTGACCCTCCCAAACCCCAGCCTGCCCCTCGAACGGTGTCATGTCCGACACACCGTCCTCGGGGGAGGTCTGTGCAGATCTGGCGAGACTTTGCGAAGGAGGCGGCGGGGGTGGAGGCGGGGGTGGAGGAGGGGGAGGGGGCGGGGGCGGGGGTGGCCTTGGCGTGATGGAGTAAGTCGCAGCTTGTCCTCTCGGGTGCGCCTGTGGCTCATTCTCTTGGAATTGCCGCTGCAGCGTTCCCGCCGCCCAGGCCTGGTCGGTTGGCATGGGGATCTCCAAGGGGAAGTCAGATTGGCGCGGCGTTGGCTGCGCGGGGATTGGATCGGGACGGCGGGGCGGGGGCGTGCGCCTGGCGGCGAAGGGGTTGCCCCGCGAGGGGTCGAATTCGAAGTTGGGGTCGGCGGGTTGGCGGAAGGTGGGGAGGGAGTAGCGGGGGTCGGCGGGCGCCGAGTGGCGCAGCGCGGGGTTAAGGGTGGACGCCATGGCGGCGACGGAGTGGCGGTAGGAGGGTGGCTGGGAGGCGCCCCGGAGGCCGGCGGTGCTTTCCTCCGACGGGCCTGCGGCGCCGAAGAATCTTTCCCCGTAGCCGGGATGGTCCCTTGGGTCGAGGCCAGGCACTGATGCTGCTTCGATCTGCGGCGCCGGGGAGGCGTACGGGCCTGTCGAGAGGCCTCTGTCGACGGCGAACTGTCGCCCCAAGCCGGTGGCATCCTGCATCGATGCAATTGGCCCAGCTGCCACGTCCCATCCCTGGCCAAGGTCCTGGCGCGGGCGGCTCTGCTCGAGGGCGAAATCCATCGCGGATGCCCTGGCAGGCATCCCACCGGGGAGCGCTCCGCCGTCCATCGAAGCCGCCATGCTGTGAGCCCGCCGGCGATCGCCGCGTGGGTCTCGCATTGTCTGCGTGGCCTGATCCGTCCCCGGCAGGATCTCCGCGGGGCTCGCCGCGTACACGGGGTACTCGGCGTCCAGCGGGTGCTCGTTGTCGGAGCTGAAGGCGATCAGGTCGCCGGGGGCGCGGAGGCGCGGGTCGCGGTCGTCCACTCCCGAAAATCTGTCCGCAGCCGAAAGTCTTTGCTGCGATTGGTGATTGGATTGGCTGCGGGGGGAGTGGTCGCCGGCGCCGTCCCCGTCGGCGGCGATGCTCATCAGAGAACTTCTGGTGGGGAGCTCCATCACAGACTTGCGGATCTCGCGCGTGACGCCCTCGTTGGCCAGCGGGGCGTCCGAAAACACCCTGTCCACCCCGGCGAAGGTCACCCTGGAGGGGCTGGCGTGGGCGTCATAGGGGGCCACGCTCAGCCTGGGGATGGGCGCCGCGTAATCGGTCGGCCCCCGGGCCTGGGCCTCCGTCGGCGCGTAGGAAGCTCTGCCTGACGGGGCGGCGGAGCGGTGGTCGGCGGGGGCGTGCTGGGCCATGGACAAGCGCTGCATTGCATAGGCGTCGGCGGGGGGGGGATGGTGCGTGGGCGGAAGGGCGTCGGTGTGGTGGTGATGGAGATCTGTGGTTGGGATCGAGGATGGGGATGGGGAAGGGTGGAAGCAGTTTCCGGTGCCTGGATAGGCTGTGGGCCGGCGGTCCTTGATCGATGGTTGTGAATGGGCCGGTGAAGGGGGCACAGATAGCCTGGCAGGGAAATATGGAAGCAAGAGGAACTGTGTGTCAGCGCCTTGGATGGGCATGAGTTTGATCAGCCACGGCGGGTGGCCGCAACTCAGAATCGCATTGCCTCCTTGATTTGATGGATCCGGGACAGCAGTGTGGGGGGCAGGCAGAAGGACCCTGAGGCCTCAAACACGTTGGAATGCAAACTGGATTGAACTGTGGCAGGAAAGACGTGGTGCAGTGTTGGACAGTTTGGCTTTGCAAGCAGCCTGCAACACTTTCAACAAAACGAGCACTGCTTTTAGCATCAATAGTGATCTGAATCTCTTGGTTGCATAAACCACAGGACAAGGCAGGTCTGGCCACCTACGAAACAGAGATTGGACTTTTAATGCAGTCATAGGAAGATGTTGTGCTTTTGTGGCATTGCATTGTATTCCTTGTGCATTGATGGATCTCACAGGGATGTTGCAGAGTCGATTGTGATGCAAACCTCGATGGGTATTCATGCACAAAACTGGAAATCCTCCAATCATCTGGCCTTGGTGCAAAGCCGGCTGCTTGGTTCAGAGGGTCTCCCTGCTCATCAGCATTCGACTCTTGCTCTTCCTGATCCATTGGGATGGTGGTCCCTTTAGAAGGATTGGGAAACATGCTCATCCGCCTGGCCTTGGCTGCTGTGTCAGCCTTGGACATGAGGTCATCCAGCCTACAAATGCATTGATTTGCCTTTGAGTTTCCCTCGCAGACATGAGCATGCATGCAGCAATAACAGCACTCATCGAAGAATGGGACACTGATTAAATGCCCTGATTTGAACGGATCTGAATTTCTTTTTGGTGAAACGTTGGCGCTGAGAAAGACTTGTCGGGAAGTGAGTGGAAACTGCACACAGTGAGGATCATACACCTGTGGATGCCAACATTGCCCAACATCGCCAGGTAGGTACCAGGACAGTGCCTGATCTTCTTCGGTAAATTCAGTCAGCATGGATTTTGTTCAGAGAATGAGACTGACACTGACTTCATTCAGCTCAGGGACTGTTGCACCCATTCTGTAGTCTGTGTGTGCTCCTGGATCAACTGGGCTGTGCTCAGACGAGCCCTTCCTGTCCTGTGCACAGTCCCACCCAAAATGGGCTCGGTGATGGCCTTGAGAAGGTACCAAGGCACTGTGTTTTAGTTTCTACCAACGCAGCCCAGGAAGTGACAAGGGCATTGCCGAATGCCATTGATTAATCTTTGTGGGACACATGTCCGGGGCGGTGGCCTTGGGGCCCCCTTGATTGTTCTCAACTGGGCAAGGCCTCATAACGCCACCAGACTGAACAGCGGCACGGCAAAGCCGTTGCGGTGAATCCACAGGATACAGCGCGTCGCGCAGCCCAATTCGATAGGGATCCCAACTGGCACTGCCATTGAGCATGAGCTGCCTGCCACACATGACCTGCACCGATCGTAGAGGTGATACACATACGTGATCATCCGCGTATCGATTGCAGATCTGTTCAGTCGAGCAGGTGAAATGAAGTGTCGAGAATGCCAAATGGTCGGAGTGGCAGCTGTGCTCACCTTCCCGCAGTGCGAAGCTCAGTCACAAGATCGTGCCTGGGGACGATCGCCTGCTTGAAGGCCGCCAGCCAGGTGCTCTGATCGAAACAACCGCCGTGTCAGCTCTGCAAGTAAACATCCAGTTGCCAAACGCAAGGCGGTCCAAGTGCGAATTGGTGGCCTTCAGAGCAGCTGTCCGAATTCTGAAACATGCTAATTCGTCGCGCGGACATCACTTGGCTGCTGGTTAATGCAAAGGGCCGGGCCTCCGCAACACTGTGGGCACAGCCCGGCCATGCGGTGACTGCTCAGTGGGCTGACGCCAGGTGAATTCAGTGGAGGGCAATTGCAACCAAGTTGTGACGGACAAAGCTCATGGACCCAGTAGATGATGATGCACACACGAAGATCCGACAAATGCTCAATTCCAGAAAAAACACCTGTTCAAAGACCACTCAACTGCGGAAAGTGGCAAAGGCAGCAGAATAACCCAAGGAAGCACTGACCGCAAGGGGATGGACTGCTGACACGTGAAGGTGGGTGTTCATTGTGCTTCGAGGCTCGAACCAAATTAAGATTTTGTCTCCATTCCCTTCCAGTGCACCTCCCCGATACATCCACAGCCGCAAACATCACTTCCCAGTGCGACAACCATTTGCATTTGAAATCGAATGGAACTGCTCCGGTGGAGGTCAAGGGTGCTCTTCACCTGAACTTCCAACTTGAAGGTGGACAGCTTGAAGGTGGTTTTCTTGCAGTAGGGCCCGTATGCGGTGTGCAGTCGAATGTCGAGGACGAAGCGTGGGGATTCCTCGTTGTCGGAATCGTCCATAGCTTCGACTTCTGCATATTCGAGGGGTATGACAGCCGAGGGCGACAGCGCCTTGGAGTTCTTGAAATAGAAGAGATTGTTGCCCTGCGGATGGGAATGTCCCAGCACTGGACATCCTTTACTGAAGGCCATGAATTGCAGCAATGCGCGCAATATTACTATTGCTGCGTGGGCCCAAATCCATGTCCTATGCTGGCGCTCAGAAAATTTCGCTTGTCGTTTCAAGAAACAGCCTACAGCCGTCCAGGACTTGCTCAGGGTGGCCGTGGTTAGGTTGTGCTGCAGTACGGGCTCCGTTGGCCGATGTGGAAAACAATCCCGCGTTGAGGTTGGCGTGCCTATCGCGCTCCATTGAAGGTGGCTGAAACAGCATTGCGAGGATTCAGTCCTGGGATTGACTGTTGATGAAGAGTATGGGATCGCTGCGTGCGGCTGTGTCGTTGTCGGTGTAGCCTGGCGACCCACCATCGATTGGCCCAGAGAATGAAGTGAAAGGCGCAATTATGCACTGCAGAGTCAGGACATTTCTTGGGTGTCGATCAACAAGGGTCGCCTAAGTTGAGATGCTCAATGGCATCGCTCTCTATCGATTCTTGGAAGCTTCGGCGGTGTTGATTGCTGCCTTGGTGGCCTGACACCGTCTTTGCTTCGACGACTCTAGTCTCCCAAGCTGCAAGACCCTGATGGCTGATGTTGAGGCTGCACAAAACTTCGGCGCCCGAAATTCTTGTTTCAGAAGCAGGAAAAGACGCTCCTATATAATTACTTCTGTGCAAAGTGTTGCGTGACGCAACAAGCAAATTTCGAGGGGCCGGTCGCCGATTTGAGCTCACCTTGAGAACAAAGAAACGCCTCCTCCAGCCATACTCCTGTCCACCTGGTCAATGACACCCCAGTGGTCACTAGTAGATCGCGGACTTTCTGTAGTAGCTGAATGGAGCTGCACCCCCGTGCTTCTCTATTGAGGAGCCCATCGGGTTTTCCATTCAAAATAGGAGAATTGGCATGTACGCCGATACGATGTATCTTGATTTCCTGATCTTGTCCCAGTACAAACACCGAAGGAACCTATGTCATGTAAAACACTGTCAGACCGCCGGGTCGGGCAGGTATTTTTCCACTTGACTTTTCTTGCGAGACACCCTGTTTGACCCACAAGCCAGGTTCTGATCAGATTCCTCATGTCACGTACGGGCATATTTTTGACATCAGAGATACCAGGAAGAAGAGCCCATGCTAGTGGACTGTTTGTGGGCGCTTTGCCCTCATCACCTCATATATCCGAGACCGCCCTCCAATGGTTTCGGCAGCATCAGCCATGTGGGGCAACGCGCAGGCACTTTGGCTCACAGTTAAACAACCGCGCCAGACGGTAAGGTGCTTTGAGGAATTGCATCCATGCGAAGGGCCCCATAGAATGAGATTCGGTAATTTTGCCAAACAGGTGCACACGCCCAGCGACACTTCAGACTGCGACGGTTGGCACATTTCGTTGACCACTACGTAGTGTTGACTCAGCCAACTTACGATTGACCAAAGTCAACAGTCAACGCCCAACGTGTGCCCTCTCCAGCCGCGCTCGCCTGGCGCACTCACCCGCTTGATCAGAGTACTCAATGGGTAATTGGCTTGTACATAGGTGGGGCTGTCGATAAGACATCCACCTCCTGTTTACCTTGTTTTTCGAGCCACCCCGATATCTCCGGAGGGTTCCATAGCGCCGCCTGGAGGCCCCCAAAACGGCGTCAGCTTGAGCCAGTCCAGTCGCTGCGGCCGTGTAGAAAAACCGCAGTACAGTGTGGAAAACAGCCCTGTGGGGCGGTGGCCACCTTGTTGGTGGTTGTGGGGCGAAACAGGTTTGCCAACCACGTCATCTGATCCTCGGTTCTGCCGCCAGGACGGATCAATGGGCCCCAAGAGGCATCGGCGACTGTGCGGTGCGACCAATAGGCACCTTTTAGATTGCGGGGGTGGTCTTGGGCGCGGTGCGTTGAATGCGATGCGGTAGCGAAAGGAGGCGAAGGGTCACAAGTCGGCGACAAATCCAAGAGGCGCGAAAATGTTGTCCCGCACTGCTCCCGCCCGGGGAGGGGACTTCGAAGTCATTTCGCCAGAAAGGGAGCATGTGGTGGAGGGCATTCTACGCTTTGCCTGTTGTTATGCAAAAAGTAATAATGGTGATGATGATGATGATGATGATGATGATGATGAAAGGCATTCTACGCCTCAGGGCGAAGTTTCGTGAGACTTTGTGATTGAGAGAACTTAGGGCAGGGCTTGCACGGTATACGAAATACCGTAGAAGATGATGCGCAAGCTTTCCAGCAATGGACACAATCTGGAGGGTGCCGTTCGACCAGGGCATTGCCCCCACCGCCACGCTGCAGGTCGAAACCAGCAGCCGAACATGTCCATGCGTCGCCAGGCTTCAAAGGAGAACGCACGTGCGAATCGGACCCTAACTACACGCGCGGGCTCCTATGTTCGTGCTGCACTATTTTGGGGCGTGTTCTTTAGATCGTTGCAACATTTTCTTGCCCTCAAACCACCTGCACTCAACCGGCCGCTCTTGTGCACCCTGGAAGACAGGAAGAAAATCACCGAGCAGCTTTCCAGCGCTCCTTTGAGAACCCCGCTCCCATAAGCTGTGCACAGCAGCCCATGGTCCCCTCGAGCGGGTTGACCACGCTGACGCTGCGCACATTACAATTAGGTTCTTATTCACAAGTAGATAAACATCCTAGCCGGGCGCCCAGCGCCCACCCCAAGTCGCCAATCGAGGCGAGCAATTCGGGATCATGCCTTACAGAACTTTGCAACACACACACACATGGTCCACACGTTGTTGGCCCTTCCCCTCTGATTCCTATGCATACGTAAGCAAAAAAAAGAGTCCATGTACACAACCAAACGCCAGCTACTGTCCTGTGCATAATCATTGCATCTCGAGGATGGGGCGCCGCGGCCCCTTCCATCTGCCGGCGGTGCCCTGTGCCATCAAACTCTACTCCTAATGTCAAAGCTCGCTGTGCGGCCATTCAAGCCCACCACTAACCGCACGCCCTCGTGTCGCCCCCAGCAAGCCCGCTGCACAAACCACCTCAGCACGCTGCCGTCTGCACGGCTCCGTGGGGTGAACACTGCACGCGCATGCACACCGCCACACTACGACGAGCGTCGCATATTAACTGCATCAAACAATATTCACCCACCAAGAATACCAAAACTGCGCTCCAACCATGCATCACAGGCTTGCACATCCCCACGTGGCACCACGCACGTGAAAGCACCAAAAACACAACGCAACCGGCACGGTCAACGTTGTCTAGGCAATGGGCAAAATTCTATCCGCGTCGCCTGGCTATGAATGTCGTCGGTTCTCCAATAGAATAGGTTTTCTTGATCAAATCAAAACAGGGTTTTTCTCCACGACACCACAGACGCTCCACGAGCCTCCTGTGGCAACTCCGCCAATCTCAACGTTTTGTTCTTGCTTTATGACAACGAAACCCAGTCAGTCTCGATGTTATTGCAGAGGCGCAGAATTATGCTAGAAAAATATGAATTTGCTGTGCGAACACTCTCGCGCACCAGCAGGGCTAATGCAAACCATTGAAACGACGCCAAGCAGCAGTGCCGAACTCGGCCAGCATGTGGCGCGGCAAACCCACAACCCTCCAAATCAACAATGACGTAAGAAGATTCGCCAACACTTGTGCCTCCTCCGCCAGCGCATTCCAACTTAGTACTTTACATACCAAAAGGCATTCCTTGCGCCATTGCCTGTCATCATACCCGCAAGTGTGCCGGTGATACTCGAACTAACAAAAAAGCACACACAGTGTGTTGAAATTCTGCACCCACTGAAAGCCCTGGCGGCTGATACGCCTACGAGCGGCCGCCAGCGCTCCCCAATCCCCTCCCTGCAGTTATCAAAGCAGCCATTCATTCGCGCGCCATCAGCCACCAAGACATGGCAGCGCACGCACACACTCCCCTCTCATCAGAGCGACTCTCTTGCCCTCCCTGCCAGCACCCCAGGCACACGCAAGCGCCGGGAAGGAGGACCTCAGAATGCACCGGCCTGGATCATCAGCGCACCTGCCGCTGCGACCGCTGCAGACAGCGCAGTGGCAGCCGCCTGCTGGTGCTCTACTGCACGCACCCCATGCTTGCCCACCGAGTTCAGCAGCGTCACCGTCACATTGTTGGGCTCCACGCCCTCTGCCTCCATGTACTTGTGCAGCTGCAGGGCGTGATCGAACCTGCCACAGCGCTCGCAGGCCGCGATCAACGCATTGTAAACGTGCACAGTCAGGTTGATGCCCGCGCGCTGCATGCGCGTCCTAACATGCAACGCGGACTGCCAGTCCCCCGCCATGCTGTACGCAGCGATCAGGCCACAGTAGGCGTAGTCGCGCGGCTGCATCCTGGCGTCAACCATCTGCTGAAAAGTGCCCTCGGCCTTGTCCACATCTCCCGCCATCCCGTAGGCCGCGATCACAGTCTCGTAGGTAACGGCATCAGGCTCCGGAACCTCACGGAACAGCGCCTCCACCACGTCCAGCTGGCCGCTCTTGCCTGCAGCCGATATGGCAGAGTTGTACATCACAGTGTTGGGCCGTATGCCCAGCCGCCGCGCGCGTGCCAGGACGTTCACCGCCTCGCTCCACTTGCCCGCCTTGCTGTACGACATCATTAACGCCCCGCACACGACTTCGTTTATCTTGCCATAGCGCGGGCGGCTCGAACCCTTGCGGCCATTGCTGCTTGGCTCGTCCTGCCCCACGTTCAGCTGGCTGATCCGTTCCACGAGGCTCGCCACGCCGCCAGCACTGCTGTGCTGCTGCCCGAATTGCAGCACCGCTTCCGGCATCTGGTTCACGAGGGGGATGCTCGACAGCGACGCCTGGTCGCTGAAGAAGCTGAAGCCCTCGTCGGAGGTGCCAGTCCCCAGCTGCTGCGCCAGGCGCGAAGCCACGACGTTGATGCCATGCAGCTCCGACGGGCTGTTCCACACGCCAGGGTTGCTGCGGGCAGAGTTCGGCGCCTGTTCGAATGAACCAAGGGGCTGCGCGCCCAGGCTCCAGGTCTCCATCCTGCTGGTGAGCCCATGGGCCAGTTTCTCGCAAGGGAGGTTGCAAAAGCCGCTCAAACCGTCCATGGACTGACCCCTCAAGGCCCTCTGGCCCAACGCCTCCGCCTCAAGGTCTGTGAACACCTTTTCAGCCAGCTCCCACTGCCCATGCTCCCCCAGCGACTTCACAAGGGCGCTGTAGCAGTAGGCGTTCGGCTCCACACCGCCGAACTCGGGCTCGGCCATGCGCCTCAGCAGCATGATGGCCCTCTGCCACTGCTGCGCCTGACCCAGGGCGTTCAGGAGGGCGGTGTATGTGCGCACATTGGGCCGCACCTGGGACTGCAGCATCCAGCTCACCACCTGCTCGCTCTGCTGCCACTGGCCGCCAGTGGCCAGGGCGCTGATGAGGGCAGTGCAGGACACGACGTCTGGCTGGATTCCGCACTGCAGCATCTGTTCAAACAGGCTGCAGGCACGCTGCCAGTCCCCACCGGCCGCACATGCACTGATGGCTGCGGCAAAGGCGTGGCCTACACAAGCATGCACATTATCACAGTGTGTTAAAAGATGACATGCCATCCACAGTTTTACCCTTGCAAGTGCAACGTGCACTATCAGTGCTCCAAAACCCACAAATACAAACCTTGTGAATGAACAACCAGATCAATGCCTGTATGTGCCCAATCCATACTCTGGCATCGGATTTGCGTGCAATTTTGAGGAAAAGGATGGGTTCACATACCGGCCTGTCCCTACAAACCACCAACAAGAAATTCTATGGCTACAATCCAGGCGAACAACACTTGGCTAGCTGCACACCTGTATTGGAGCATGACACACAGAGGCTGCACAGAGCAACGAGACCATGCACAGCCAAATTGCAAGAACCAAGGCCTACCTGATGCTTCAACTCCAGCAGAACCCATGTCCTGCCAGATCTCCAGAGCTTTTTGCCACTTGCCGCCTTCTGTGGCCGCCCTCATGGCAGCTGTGTATGCATGCACGGTTGGCGCCATTTTCGAGTTTGCCGGCGCACCCCTCATCCTCTGGTACATCTGCAACGCCTTTTCCATCTGTCCAAGCCGTGTGCAGACCTAAGCAAGGCAGAAAGAAAAGATGGCTGCTCAAATCGTGGCAGGCAACACACCAACTTCACCCGTCCAATGCTAATTGTCACCTGTAACATTGGCACATTACTTCTCCATCATACAAAGCTCAGTCTTCAATGCAAATTTGACCAAGGTTGTGCCCTTCGCTTTGCGAGTGTCCGTCCAAAAACCAAGCCCATCCATTAAGTAATGCAAATTTGGCAATATTATGTGCCAAGGGCCCTCACGCAAAAAAACTCGAATTTTTGCCAGCGCTGTGGAAACGTTGCTACTTTCACAGTTTCGAGGACAGCTTCTCAAAGAAGCACAACTGAGCCACACAAGCAAATTGTCCATGCTGTTCAAACCGAAGATAGGTGTGGTGCACGCAAGCGCAGTGTTAAAAAACTTGTTCCAAACGCCTTGCTCGCAAAACTCACTTTGGCTCATGGCATCAATTCACAGTTCACCCGATGGATATCAAGCTACCTTCAGAGTTCTGATTTCCAGGCCAAGACAAGACTATTCGCCTGCCACAGCCGTTGCAAGGGCAACTATGGGAGGTCCAATCCCCTTGACAACATACGAGTACAGGTGATGGCCATCACCCCGATCAAGCAGGGGACAAACAGAGAAGGATCACTGGGGCAACAATGGTGAAATCGAACTTGTTTTGGGCACAATACGACCTATTACTTGGGTTTTGGAAACCAGAACACTGATCTGTCCTCCTGTTGCAATTCAAAAGCTGTTTTCATGAAATTCCCTTCAAATAGACAACAATTACTATGGGAAGATGTATTTCGATTGCTACCTCAGACCAAAGGATGGAACAAGGCACCCATCACAAGGGACAAAGACATTAAAAAAATAGCGCACAACCTATCACACAAAAAGACGAATGGGGGTGGACTACTGCTTCAGCAACAGCAATGAACAGTAATCCCAACAACAAGAATTCAAATGACCCGTAGTGAGTGAGCAACGGCAAGTAAAGTGGACGACCTTGGGAAAGAACACTCAGCAACAGAAGGCCAAATTCACCCCCCTTGCTTACGACGGCTTGCGTGCAGTGCAACAACATGGAAAAAACAGGCAGAAGGTCAGATTCTTACTTCGATGTATGCTGTGCACAGACGGCTGTCCGGTTGGCAACGTGAATCCTCCACATCATTCCATATCTGCAGAGCCTTTTCGAGCACGTTGCCTGCAAGTGCAGCACGCATCGCCGCTGTGTAAGTGTACACAGAGGGACACAGCCCAGCGCCACCCTCTTCAGGGAGAGCCTTCATCCATTCGTACACGCCCAAAGCACTGAAAGTCTGGCCATGCTGTCCACAAACGCGGATTAGCTGCACCAAAGCAAAGGCACACAGGTGCAGTCAGCATTGGAGGGCCCAGAAGTGCCTTGACGCTTTGTCAGCGCACAATCACAGGGCCTTTCAGCAGATTTTGGCGCTTGTCAGAGTGGTGCTCATCATCGTCACGCAGCACCTGCATATTGGTGCTCGTCAAAAAGATGCAGCACCCACTAAGGCTATCACAGTGGTTGACATCTATGCCTCCGTAAATGAACACCAGATGTGTCACTTCCTTCTGCACATCAGATTGGACCTTGAGAGACACATGGCGCTTGCCACAGCCAGGAATGTGCTTCCTCAATCGCGGGAGCCGCCTTGATGCCAAGCGCGAATGTTCCCAGGGCCGACCCACGGCAAGTCGACAAACATCAAACGGGACTAAATTCAAAGGGACATGAGGGGCGAGACTCGCGGCCTGCCGAAGACTCGGAACCCACCGTCGTGCAGAGCCTGTCGTCAGGTATGTGGCCCGCGTCGACCAGCCACTCGTGCAGCAGCAGCGCTCGCCTCCAAGTGGCCTTGTTCCGGCCCAGCTGAGACACCAGCTTATCGAGCTCCCTGTTGTCCAGGAGGCGCAGGTCCACGCGGTGGTGCGGCGGCAGCTGCACGCCCGCCTCGGGGTCGGTCAGGTGGTAGAACTCGGCGGGCAGGCGGCGGCCGGCGGAGGTCTGCGTCACGGCGGGGGCCGTGGTCACCTGGGCAACGAAATGATGCGGCGGCACTCAGGACGCCATCGCGGCCTTGCCTTCCATGGCAAAGAAAGGCCCCGGGGGAGTGGCGAGGGACTGGGGAACGCTTTGGACGTGTTCACTCCGATAATGTCCGTGAGGGGCAATGTCTGCTGCTCCTGTTGGAGGCCGACGCAAGGCAAGGAATTCAACGCCCGGCGAGTGGGGCGCCAAGGATGCTGCGCGACCGCGCGTTGGGTGCGAAGGATGACCGGTCGCGGGGCGCGACCGCGGTGGCTCGTCGAGTGGAGTGGCATCGGTGCGGGTGAGGGGTCGGAGTGGGAACGCGCAGTTGGCGCGAACGTACCGCGACAGAGGTTGGAACCCGCGGCACCGGCACGAGGCGGATCGCGGCGGCAGGACGCTATCGACCCCTCGCCAGGACCGGCGGACGGACGATGAACACAAAAGCGCTCCCAAGCGGCCCCCGCTCCGAGGCCAGCGCCTCACACATGCAGAGCCGACGCTCCGCAAACCGCCGCGGCGCACAGTCACACACAACACGACCCGCAGCTCGAACAACGCCAGCCCCGGCCCCTCCACGCCCTTCACCCGCCCTCCTCCCGCTAAAGACCCCTTGCCCCTCCACCCCCAACCCTCCCGCCGCCCACCTTCTGCTCGAACGCCTGCCTCTTGGGTGCTGTCACCCTGTCCGTGGTCAGCGCCGCCGACACGGCGATCCCCGCAGCCGCCGGCCCCGACCGCCCCAGCGCCACAGACCTCGTGAAGCCGCCGCCATTCCGCCGCTCCGCCGCGTAGATCCCCCGGCCGGCGGGCAGCCGCGACTGGACGCCCCCGGCTCCCAGCGCGTCCGGCAGCCCGCCGCGGTTCGCGAGGGCCATCGCGCCGGTGTGTGCGCCACGGGCGCACCCGCGGAGAGCTCCTCAGCCCACGGCAACCCTCCCCCAAGTGTCGAACAGGCAGAGGTTCAGAACACAGCGGCGCCAATCAGCGCCGAAGAGGTTCTGTGGACGCCCGCCCCAGTCCCGGGTCTGAGCTGTCTCCTCAGGGCACCCCGCCGCCTCACGCGATCGGGGTGGCCAACCCGAGCGGGAAAATCCCACCGCTGGCTGCTGTCGACCTGGGAGCAGCTTTTCTGTCGGCAGCCGGCGCGTGGGGGGCCGGGGGGTGGGCGGGGTGGCGTGGGGCCAGTCGAGCGAACGCTTGTTCGCAAATGGAAAGATCCTCAGAGCCACGGAGCGGCCCATTGAAGTGGGTGGCCAGGGACCTGACGTAACCTGGTCAGGGCAGGATGGGAGAATCGGCCTCTCCCGGCCAATCGATGGGTGGCGGTCTGTGGGCGGGGCGTCAAGTACGGGAATGGGGCGCTGCCCACCGGGACGCCTTATCCCCTCGTATCCTCCCCCCTTTCGAAGAAAGATTTGGCTCCCTGACGGACCCGGGGGGGTGCCTTGTCCCTGGGCTGGCCACGGAGCAACGTGACGCCGTTTTTCAGCCCATTGTGGAGAGGCTGAAGTAATGGAGGCTCGAAGATGATGCCCCCGAGCTGTACCCCGCAGGAACATCTTTATCAGTTTTGCGCCTGTAATGCCATTGTACATTTTGGGTGAGTTTTGCCGTCCCGCTCTGCGCCGTCTCCCAAGCGTAGTGGCGGCAGCCGACAGGTGCGCTGGGGGACAGGATGGCAGTACCCGTCGTTGAAAGGTACAAGTCAGTGACAATCTCAAAACTCGATAGAGGCTCTCCGACATTATTGGCACTGACTTGCACAACCGAAGACTGACCAGCCGCCGGCTTCTGTACGACGTCGCCACAGTTTTTGCCAAATGATAATGGAAATGGCGCAATGTCCCTGACGCCTTGTAACGGCCGATGCTGAACTCCACCGCCAGGCATCATCACTGTGAAATTATACATAGCAAGGCAAGGACGTAGCCGTCAGTTCCTGTTAAACAGGCTAATAGCCCGAGCTAAAGCAGTGTACATGATGTCGTGTTGTGTCATGGTGACATGTTGTGTCTGGCACGTGGCGATTGACTGGGTGACGCAACACCGAAGTCCAGGCAGGCAAATGGCATGGAGAGCGGCTGGGCTTTGGTGACAAACGAAGCAAGCCACTCTGAAAAAATGGCCATACTGATTATGACAATATGATAATGGCAATTACATTATGACAATGATTATGACATCCTGTATTGCAGCCCGTTGATGAAGCACTCAACAACCTGAGTTGAAACCACATTCGCACTTGTTGCATGATTGAAACAGGCAGGATTGCTGCCGCAAGGCTTGAGAACTTGTCGGCAATAGAGCAGGCATGACAGCCGCGCCATGTTGAAGCATCGTGAGTAATCCAGGCTGTGCCTGACGCGAATCAATTTGTCTTTTCTTAAATTCTGAAGAGGCACCAATACTGCCACTGCGGATTCTGCACGCACAGTCGCCCAAGAATCCCAAGGACGTTGCTTTTCGCCAAGTCTTGATGGCAGCAATCAAGGTGATTTTCCACGCACAGATTTCCACAAAACAATTGTTTACAACGCCGCCCGGCTGCTGAGCTCCCGTGGTCCCCCCCCCCCCCTTCCCGTCCCGTCTCACTCCTGCCAGCGCGGAAACACTCTCTTGTACAGCGACATGCACACCGTGTCGCGCTGGCTGAGCGCGCCCTCAAACAGGCACTTCATCGCCCCGTGCGTGCCCACCGGCTCCCGTATGAACCCCGTCCGCCCGTACTTCGTCCACAGCTCCACCGGCCTGAACCACCGCACGTCCTCCGGGTTTCGGAACATTCCGGAGACGATGGCGGTTTTCTTCTGCACGTGCGTGGCCTTGCCCGTCAGCACCGCCTTGCGCAGCACAACCCTGTCGGGGTCGCAGCCCAGCAGCGTCCCCGTTGCCGCCAGCCTGGGAGGGCTGATTCCGTCGGACTTGAAGGCGAGGATGGGCATGGGGGAGTAGGTGATGGGCGCGTAGACGGACGCCACGCAGGACCGCCCCGGGTGCAGGAACCGCTCGAGTTTGTGCTTGTCGAACCGGGGGTCGTCGGTTGAGATGAGGGGCCGGGCGGGGTAGGCCCTAAGGCCCGTGACCACCAGGAGGTCCTCCCCGTCGTGGATGGGCGCCGTGTAGGTGGCCGTCTTCGTGAGCCTGAAGTTCACCACTGACATTTTGGATTCGTGGCGCAGGAGGCCGTGGGCCACCGCTGGTGGCGCCTCGCCCTGACGTTGTGCACAGCAGAAGGAGCCCGTCAGGCAGTGGGCAGCACCAGAATACGGATATGAGCAGGGATTTGTGCGTGCCATTCGGCATTTGTTCGGCATTCTGTAGTTGCATCAAATTTATTTGATCACCACCCATCTCCAGAACCAAAAACAGCCAAAATTGTGCTCACAATGATAGCTGTTTGTATTTTCGTGATGATCATGCTTCCCTTGGCACAATGTTGTACTGCTTGGTCGAATCCATGCATTGCCACAAGGAATTGGAAACTGTGCAACAGAGGCTGTCCTGCGCCGCCCCTCCATGTAGCCCATCATAACCGTGGGCCCCACCTGTTTCGACGCTTGTACACGGGACACCAGTTTCGCAGCATCCGCCGCCTCGACATCCTGCAGATGAACGCACACAAAATCGCCAGGAGGGATGCTGACACCAGGGACGTCGCTGGCGTCCGCCTCAGCCTTGGCAACTTTGGCGGTGCCCCTGAAGTTCTGAAAGGCGAACAGGCGGGAGTATTCAGGAGGCAGGCCCTCCTGGGGATCCCAAGGGGTGGTTCGGAAGCTCTTGAGGCCACGGTATTCCTCAAACCTGGCCACAGCAACGAGCTCCATCAATTCCCTTATCGTTCCCTGCATCTCTTCAGTCCAGAATGCGATGCAGTGAGGGCCAGTCGCATCTGCACAGACGTGGAGATAGAGACAATTGGGAGAGAAACAATTTCGTGTGTACAAGCGCCCGTTGTTGCCTTCCAAGTGCAAAGCCAATGCTGTGCCATGAACGTGCAAGTGTGGTACAAGGACCTTCAGCTTCATGCGCATTGTGCTAACAATTTAACATGCCACGATATTCCATTTTAAAGGCGATGCTTTCCCAGGAAGTCGACTTCCTAAGACAACACGCCTATCAACCAATCAAGCCTAACAATAGAGCACCTTTAGTCAGCTTTTCTATGCGCATGAGAACATGAAAAGGCGTTTTGCTGCACTAACTGGCAAGTCCATTCCGTTACCAAGAAAGTCAACAGAATATGGATATGTTGTGACAGAATGTGGCGCTGGCTGTTTCTCTTTTACCGTAACAGAAACGATTCCACTCAAAAACGAACAACACACCAACAAACACACATGTGTTGTGTTGTGTTGTGTTGTGAGGTGTACTAGCACACTCGAATATCAGGGACCGAACAACGCGTTTGCAGGTTGCTTTGGGGCCGAAATCAGAGGAATAATGAAGAAGTTCACCTTTGTGGGTTAAAGGTATGCTAAGTTGAGGCTTGACGCCGCGTAGGACGTGCTACGAAAACAAGATATACACTTGTGAGATGATGACACGACAGGAGCACCGACCACCCACTTTACTCATTAGAAGGTCGCATTTCAAAAGACGAGGCAATGTCAAACACGTCTGCTTGTGTGCAGCGAATTGGGACTGGGCTTGGCAATCAGCTGGGGAGCTGTCACCAAATCATTGCTGTGAATTGGTGCTTCTGTCAATTCTACCAATTGCTGGCTGCTGTGCACACACAGAATTGCTCCTGTGCCTCAACACTGCCCTGCCACACAATTCGCTCACGCACTTTGAGCACAGAGGAGAACTGCATGTCATGCAAAGATGCAGCACACATGCCTTTGTCATCATAACATACAAACCTGACCCGGGCATCAACGCCTTCAGGTACTTCCACCTCATCGGGATACTCGGCATCCTCTTGTTCTGCCTCTCTTGGATCTGAAGTCCCCTCATCCATGCCACAGTAGCTGTCCCAGTCCACGTCCTCAGCGTCGCTGTCTTTCCGACCCAAGCTGCCAATCTGCAAAAAGTCGCCACCAGTATATTGGCACATACCCACGAGGAAACAATTATTCGCCGAACTCCCATGAAGGCGCAACGCATGTGTCGCCTACACCGCCATGATGCGGGACTTCATAATGTGGGCCTCAGGGACAGTGCAGAACATACATCAATTCGTTCCGTCGCAATGTCTGCCCCAAAGTACGTCCCTGAAAGAGTCAGCACTGACTTTACATGCAGGGAGTCGTCGCTCTCTACAGTCCAGGCAAACCAAAACCACGCCACAATACACTATAAGACGGAGCCCCCTGTGTCTGCAACCCGACTTTTGGGCATTCACAGCCCGATTTCTTTTATATCTATTGACTCTAAACCCCCCAAAAACAAGACTTAGTTCGGGTACTAAGTTCCCAAGGCATTACAGATATACCAGCAAAGAGGTATAATGAGAAGCAGGCAGCAATTGCCCCCGAAACGGTCAAAACTGGACACAAGATCTGCCAAGAATATGTTTCACAAAGATGGTTCTTCTTGCAGTCACACATGTGATAATTGGCATACTGCAAAAGCGACTCACGCTCTGAAGGTCGTCGGCAACGTCCTCGGCATCGTCCAGAGCCATGTCACCATCAACAGGCTGGTTGCTGTTTGGCTCATCATCGGTTTGCGACTCTTCCTGTGCTGTGTCTTCTTGGTCCAATATCCAGGCCGCTTGATAGGCAGATGTGCCTTTCGGCAACCGCCTCACTTGAGTTATTGTGTTTTCAGCCATTGTGTCCTCATCAGGAATGTCCTGGTCCACGATGCAACCAATCGTATCAAACGAGAGTTAAAGTACTACGTGGTGCACCACTGAGAATGGCACAAAGGACAAGAACACTTGACAGCACGGGGACAGATCTGTTAAACAGCTCTGACACAAACAGGATCAATAAGCCCTCTAACAATAAGACGTTTTATCTAGAAGCCAGTACGCCCCACACAATGGCCATGCAATTCCATAGGACCATTTTCTCATTATGGTGACTGTCAACATTCAACATGCTCTCCATTGGCAATCAGCTGACTCTTCATGGAATATTGTTGGTGCTGTACAGTCGCGAAGGGATTTTGTTCAACAGATACAAATACGACTGGCATGGCTTGAGTCAGCTAAGCAAACGCACTGCCTCAAGAAACTGCCTGCTGAATTGGGACCGAAAGAGCAGGGCTCAAAAGCAAGAGAACATTGAGAAAGAAAACCATGCTGCGACAATTGACAGCACGTGTCCAAACTAGCACTGAACTGCTGAGGACAAGCTTGGCGATTTCGGCGCGCTCACAGACAGCCCCACCTCACACACAGGTTGATCATTCAATTTGATCAGTGGCTGTTGGTCCTCTGGTATGGGCTTTGCCAGAATTTGATCCCCTATCTCCATCTCGTCAGGTGTTTGGAAAGAGCCCCTGCCTGCAGGGGATATGCACTTGATCTGGTAATCCCCGATGCCGGGTATGGTAACTAGTTGGTTGGCAGACAACACCTTGCTGCGAACATGACCTGTCAGCATTAGCGTGCCAGAAGTGGGGAGAGCATCGCCCTGCACCACAAGAAGCAGACTCGTTCAAACCTTGTGTGCAAGACAACCAATTCAATGCTAGAATAGGACATTGTGGCCAGTTGCCATGTGCACAAGTGAGCAACATCCATTTGCTACAAATGTACTTGGTTCTGCTGTAGGCCACTTTCTTGTGAATTCAAGCACACGTCTTTAAGTGGTTGGTGGTGCTCATCCACACAACCACCATTAAACTAGTCTCCCAACAGGAACTGTTGCATGTTCTGGGCAGGAATCTGCCCTGGTGGTAACATTTGCTAGGTTTTCGCCCTCAGCGCTCAGCTCCGTCTGGCAGCATTGATGGCCAAAATGACAGAAAGTGCCTCCACAGCATTCGTGCAGCACTCAGAGAAGCCCCATATAGTTCACAGTCAACTTCCCTTTGTACAAAACACTATCATGGCCGTGCAACAAATGCAACACCGAAAGTATGATTGAAGTCAGCCAGTCATCGAGCCCAGTCCTAGATCCAATGCCACACCTGGACGAATTCAGCATGCTCAATCATTAGGCATGGCCGTTGCCTCCTCCATGCTGGCAAGCTGAACTGAACAGGTTGTAGATGGTGGAGCATTGCTGCACAGCCCTTGGCATCATCCACAGGGAAAATCTTCAACTCTGTGCTCAGCTGCACACACAAGCACACATGCTTTTGCAACCATGTGATCAAGTTTGATTTGGCCGCTTCTGGTGCATCTTTGTTCGCCTGGCGTGTCCAGCAGGTCAGAACCAAGGTGGTCTGCGGTGAGCGAATTTCACTACTGATGGAATAATTTTGTTTGCTTCTCTCAAACACCACAATGACATCTGACAGGACAACAATATCTTTCTCCAATCCAAGATTTCCACCTGCCTAACCTACTAAAATTTTGACCAACATTATTTCTCCAACCAAGCCTTAATTTTAGGTTCCTTTCCAGCTCAGCTTGGTATCCCAACCTCTGGGAAAACAAAGTCCAGATCAAGAATTCAAGTCGATGCCTCGATGGCACAAGCACACTTGTATGCCATATTTGACACATGTTATCAGAATAGTAGCACCACAGATTCAAACTGTAGTGTGTGCTGCTGACAGCGCACAAAACTCACATGCTCTGCCAGTGCCTCCGCTGCTCTTTTCTTTGCTTCTGACACGTTCTTCTGTCCTTTGCCCATGGTGCCCTGCAAAACAACTGCAGTGGAAGGCATGCCGATCGCCCCCAACACCTGGAGTGCTCTTGCTCCCTCCTCATCGATTGCACGTTGGCCTGGATTGTCATCGAAAACAAGCAGCACCAGCTCTGCAGCTGCCACCAAGTCAACGATTTCCAGAGGATTCTGCGCAACAGAAGCATACAATCATGAGCAGCACACGACTCCAGAATTTGGTGCAGTTGCAAAATAGGATGTGCTGATGACAGATAGGAATCTGTTGTTCCCAGTGACTTTCAGGCTAAACTGCAAAATGTCAGGCAAATGTGCAGTTTCAGCTGAGCCAGAGGGGTCTGGAGATGAGACCACTTGCTTGTACAATTTGGATACCAGGTTTCCTCTTTTCTTTGGAGACAAGTTGTGTCACGACAAAAACAAAGAGAGGAATCAGCATCGAGTGCATTTACAGTGCATACCTGATGGCTCTTTAAGGGTGGCAGGAGCATCCATTTGGTGTGTTTGTTCCCTGGAGGCTGTAGAGTGCAAAATGTCTGGGATGTGGTGGAGGCGGCGGGGCCTTTTCACAGACACATCAGTTAAGTAGGGCTTCCAGCGAAACTGCTTTGCAGGGCTACACTGACCCCAGCAGTGAAAAGCATATACTGGACTACAAGAACTGAACGATGAATGGGGCTTGCACTGCCCAGCGTGTCTTCAAACAAGATTCAAACAAAAGCTCCTCAGGTGCCTGATACATACTACAACAATGCCCACAACAATACTCAGAACCGACCCAAAGCAATCTGCACATCCGAGTGCTGAAGGGGGCCCACTGTCAAATTTAGCACAAACTCCTGGTAGCTCTCACGACGGGATGCACCTGACAGCCCATTTTGTGGAATCCACACAAAGCTGAGGCTCCTACCTATCAATCCCTCCATATCTTGTGGGTTTGCGTAGTTTCGCTCATCTGGCTTGCTACCTTCACAGGTGCCAACAAGTGTGGCATATAGGTGGCTAACATCCACAGCCTAGGGCACCATGAAGCATACATCACTGTCACAACCGCCAACTTGGGTTCCTGAAAAAACGCTCTGACACAGAAACAAGGGTACTCGCATCAATGCCATGCAACTGGAAGCAACGATTGAGAACAGGTCGATGTTCAGTAGATATGGTGTAGAGGAGACTGGATAAAAGCCAAGTGCATTGCTGTTCCATTTAAAAGCACCAAATTAGGAATAGCGATGGCAGGCAGCCTGCAACAGTTTCCTGACCTTCCCTACCAATTTTAGATTGCAGTCAACAAGTAAATTGATCTCTTGGACTCAATCGGTGCAATGGCTGCCACAGGTTCGGAATGTTTCATTCCAGCATAACAGATTATTGCCAAAGCAACGACTGTAGTTGAGCTCTTCAAGCCCAGTCCTCAGAATCCAAGCGAATGCTTGCAACACCTTGTGAGCTCTGCTGCTATGCCTGCATCAATTTGAGTGCCACAATCGAACAGTTATTGAATTCATGAAATCTTCATTCTGTATCTGTGCAAACTTTGTTTGAAAACAAAGCAGGCTGCACAGCCATGATAATCAACGAAGTTTTGTGCGATCTCGAACCTGCGAAAGTGGAAGGATGGAGACCAGTAGAGGTGGCTTAGGTTGGCGCTTCAGTCTCAGCTCAGACCGTCTTTGCAGTCGCCTAATAATTGGCAGGACAAGGTCGCAACAAATTTAACATCTGGTTCAATATTCTGGGCATCCTGCAGAGCTGCAAAACAACAGCACTCCACCACATTCTCACAGTGGCCAAATGCTCTGATGTTTGATGTCCTGCTATGGCTGTTGCACTTGCATGGAATGAGAGAATGGGGTGAGCGGAGTGTGCACAGCAACGTGTTGGAGCCATTCTATTCGAAAGAAACCTTCAAACAGCCTCAGAAAGAAAGCAACAATATGCCAAGTTGGGCTAGCAGTCATTTCATCTTGAGAGATGTGCAAATTGCTGTCCTCAGGGCATAACTTGTTCAGTGATAAACCAGGAAATGGCATGGCTCGTTCTCCGCACAGGGAAACCAGGACACGGTATGGCTCAATCTTTGAGCTTGCAACAGCATGCACGACAGCCTGCGAGCAGCTAGCCATCAGTTCCCAGCTCAAATCTTACATGTCTTGAGCCCTCCCCCTTTTGCTGCATGTTTTCATGTCCTTTGCATCAGTTTAGGTAGTGCGTTTCCCTTCTGCACTTGTAGATGTATTCATCATCCTTACAGTGTGGAAACAAAGCCTGGCAAAATCATTGACGTCCAGGGGGTCCCCATTGCAGGGCGCATATCTGTCTCTCTTACTGCAAGCTTCAGTATTTCATTTGTGTACCGTCCTGCCTCTTCGCAGCGACTTTGTGCCCATCTCTTGGATCATTACAATCGCCAGCATTCTCCCTTTCCCAAAATGGGCACCCTGTCCAATTCCTGGTTCCTACAACTCATCCACATCAACGACCCTCAGCCCCACATACCGGCGCAGCTTCACAGCCTGCCTTCGCTTCTGCTTGCTGCCAGGCCCTGTTGCACCCTTGACCGGAGGTCGCCGGATTCCTCCTGGCGGCCATCGGCAACAGCCGGATGTCAGCCCGCGCACGCGACAGACACCAGCCGACGACCCAAATCCCAAGGGTCGATTTCAGGCATCGTCCGCAAGACACAGTCTCCGCATGCACAGAAGCTCACCGGCGACCGCTTTGTGCTGTTTCCGCGCCCGCTTCCCGAGCTTGCCGCTGGCCTTGTGCGCCTGCACGATTTCTTCAGCGCTTCAGCACGCCGACGGCGATGCCACAGTTCAGACGACGAGCAATCAGACAACGGGGCTCCCCGGAAGCGTCGCCCCCCGGCGGATCCCCGCCGCTCCACAGCGCACCTTGTTCCTCTGAACCATGGCGTCCTCCCGCTCGGCGCGCCGCCGGCCCCCGTGGCTCCCTAGCACATGCCCAAACGCGCCCCCCAGTACTTCCGGGCACGAACTACAGCGGAGGACGGACCGAACGCGGCTTGAAGAAGCTGCGCCTTCGGAAAATAGTGCGTTACACTTACGCGTTGCGCGTTTGTGAAACGCCCACGTGTTGGTCATTCGCTCCTGGTGAGGGCGAGGAGAGAGTACGATGATCAAGTGGCGCCTGCCAAGGTGTCGCCAGGTCGCTGTCACCGCCAGTCCCTGTTCCATCCCCGCCTGGCCCCGCGGGCGCCGATGCCGAGGCCCGCAGCGCGCAAAGGGGCCAAACGAACAGCAGCCCTCGGGCCTCCGTCGGCAAGCGAAGGAGGCCCCCTTGAGGCCTCTGAGGTCGCTGCCGGCCTGCCGCGCATCGGCCCATTTGGGCAAAGGGTGACTGCCAAGGGGCCCCGGGCGCTGTGTGTGTGGGGCAGTGACTCGGTCGACTCAGTTAGGCGTTCTCGTGCACCAACGGCGCGAGGCGCCGCCGCCTTGGTCGTGGGTCTTGAGAGGAATCTCGCGGAGGAGGGAAGGCGCAGTGCGGTGGATGCGGGGTCGGGCCCTACGGGTCGCCAATAGAGATGTGGCCTGTGGGGCGCGCATTCGTCAACGTGGCCGTGGTGGTACGCGCGTCTGTTCGTGGCCGTTCGGAGGGGATGGTCCGCGATCCGGGGCGGTCGCTGCGGAAATGGGCTGGTCGGTGGATGGCCAGGGGTGGGGCAAATGCCTGGGAGGCAATGGGGTCTCCAGGAATTGGCGGCGACTTAGGGTGGCGGCCCGAGGGGCGGACCGAGTTGTTGCGCAAGTGGGGGTGGTTGCCGGTTGTGAGGCCGGCAGTCAGTGACTTCTGTGCTCGCTTGGGAGGTTGCGGTGGCAGAGAGCGCGGATTGGGAAAAAGTGTGACGCGGGCCTCGTGGGAACGGGGCGGAACTTGCCACGCGCGGTTTGCACCGGATTTCTGGTGGCGTAGGCAGTGGCAGGGGCCCAGTTGCGTATGAAAACCCGGATATTTGAAAGGCAATTGTTTTCTGCGTAGAAGTTCTGAAAGCCGCCTGTCGATGGGCCACTGCATGGGGTGGGGGGGGGGCCCTCGTTAGCTGCCCGACAACTTCCTTGGAGTGTAATACATACCCTTTGGTACCAGAGGTTTATGAGTTGAGCCATTCCTGCACAGCCGAATGTGGCTGCTGTTTTTTGTGTTGTGCTTGGGCACAGTCAGGATTGTGCTGCAAAGATTGCTCTCGAATGTTGGGAATGACACAGCTGTCTTTGTGGGTGCAGACTCTGCTGCTCATCTGCTTTGCACTGCCGACCAGTGCCACACCGAGGTACGTGGCGCAACGCTTTTGTGTATTGTTGCCAAATGCGATGGAAGTATAGTACGGGGATGCCCTGCAGGAGCCCCTGGGAAGTGGCACTTCGTATTCATACCCGCTTCAAGGACGAATCCAGGCCGAGTGGTGAACAGCAAACAGCAGACAGTGATGCTGGGTGGCAGAGACTCCAATTCCCGTGGGCGTTTTTTTTTCAGACCATCTGAAATATGTTGTCGTTTGCCAAGCTGTCAGTTTCCCAGCTCCTTCACATGGCTTTTGTTCAGTCTGTGGTTGGGAAAATGCCCAAAGCACACCACAGCAAGCTTTTGATCGAATCATTTCCACCTTTCAATGTTTTGTAGTATGAGCTGATTGACATTCACATGTGTTCTTCTTGCCTTCTGCAGGATACTGCTGCAGTCCAGTGGTGTTGTCAATGACATCCAGGAAACAACTGATGGTGACACAAGCAGAAAGTGGTGGATATATGTCATAATCCCCTTTGTGTCGGGTTTTGTGGGCTATATAACGAACATCATTGCTATCAAAATGGCATTCGGCCCCACAGAATTCTGGGGCTGGAAGCTGTGGCAGCCCAAAGGTCAGCCGTTTGGGCTGTTTGGATGGCAGGGCATAGTGCCTGCCAAAGCCTCGGTAATGGCTGGGCGCCTTACAACGCTCTTCACAACGAAGCTCTTCAGCGTGAAGGAAATCTTCAGCAGGGTTGACCCTGCCGTTGTGAGCAAGCTGTGTGAGCCTGGATCAGTGGTGGGTGACAAATTGTCAGTACAAAGTTTCCGGTGCAAGCCGCTGGACATTTGTCAAAGTGTCCACTTCTGCACGTGAGCTAGGTGCCAGAGCGCATACAGATCACAGTCGGATAGGAAAATGGTGCCAGCAAGAGCATGACACCCGAGTTGTGTCCAGGGGCTCAGGTTGATGTCACATTGCTATCCTACAAGCCTATCGATCTGCTGCTGCTGCTGAGTCGAAGTTTTGCATTGAAGCCAACGACCTGTTCCGGTGCCATTCACTGTTGCATTTGGTCCCAGTGCCATCTTCCAGCCATTTTATGGGCTCCACATGTGCGTGGAAATCCCTATGACTACATCTGTCATCTGTGCGGTTGAGAGTACTGTTTCCCTCCAGATCATTGCCTGTTCACAAACATGTTGTGTACGAGCTGCAAGGCAGATGCAGAGTTGTTCAATGGAAATCACTAATTCTACAACAGCTTCAAATTCAGACTATGGCTCTCGAGGTGAATTGTCTGACAAGAAACAACAAATGGAAAACATGCAGCATAGAATGGGAAAATGCTGTCGAACGACTTAAAATTAGTGTTGAAATGGATGAAGCTGATGATGGTTGGGTTGAGTTATTGGGACAGCTGTGAAACCATATGGCAGGAATTGTTTTTATATGATTTTCAATCCAGCGATAATATGGACCTGATGGGAAGTGGCTGAATCAACACACTCCTGTGGTCCAATGGATCGTTTGGGATAGATGTTGCTCATTGTTGTGTTAAAAACGATGCATTTACGTGCACCCTTCAAGGGACTCAAAACACTGTTGTGCATGTCCAATGGATCGTTTGGGATAAATGTTGCTCATTGTTGTTTTAAAAATGATGGATTTACTTGCACCCTTCAAGGGACTCAAAACACTGTTGTGCATGTCTCTCTGTGTATACGGTCAATGATTGCCAAGACAGGCACTCGTTGTTGCACTAAATATGACCAAAAGAAAGAAAACAACAACCGTTCATTCATGAGACACTGCAACCCCATTGGGAGAACCATGTCTTTCATTGAGTGGATGTCTTGGACTTTCAGGCGATTTCTAAATCCACAACAGATGAAATTGTCAAGACACTTTTCCCGGCAGTGTGGAGTGCCCTCCCAAAATATGTCAAAGATGAGGTGATCGACTTAGTCTACAAGGAGTCGTCCTCGTTCATCACCATCTTGATGAACAACCTCAAGGAGAATATCACAAATGTGCTGGATCTGACTGCAATGTCTACACGGCTTGCAGAAGAGAATAAACGGATCGTCATAGACATGTTCCTGGAGGTTGGGGAGAACGAGTACCGATTTGTTGAGCTGTCTGGCCTTGTATTTGGCTTTATTTTTGGTCTCTTTCAGGTGAGGAGCATCTAATCATTACAGGCCACATCCCTTGCAGAGTAGTGCTTGCAGTATTAGCATTTGGCTGATATCACTTGTTGCAGTTAAATGTATGCAGAGCCATGTTTCAGTCATGCAGCAATCAATCAGTACAGGGTTGGCTTCCATTTTGTCAGACAGCACTTGCACAGGACATTATGAAAAGGAGAATTTGGAGTTTTGACTGCAGTTGTATTTTTTTTGGCAGACTCTTTCTGCCTGTAATAATGAGTTCTATTAAGATGAGTTCCAAAGCCTTGCTGCGAACTCGCTGCTGTGGCAGATTTCATGATCTCAGAATATCATTCATGGCTTTGCTGTGGTGTTTCAGACCATGGTCGTTGACTGTTAACTATTGGCCCAAGTGCCCCTGCGCTGAACCAGCTACAGCATCTCCCTCACTCGGGTTTTCTGGCTGCATGTTGCAGACGGCCATATTCTTCTTTTGGGACAATGAGTGGGTGCTACCAGTGGCAGGTTTGCTGGTCGGCTGGGTCACCAATGTGCTGGCCCTTAAATTGATTTTTCAACCAGCCGAGCCGCACAAAATCTTTTGCTTCACGATTCAAGGAGTGTTTCTCAAGAGGCAGAAAGAGGTATCCGTACAAATTGCGGACCTGGCAACAAAATGGTTTCTGACGCCAGAGATCATATTGGGAGAAATTATGAATGGTGCGCACAGCAGGTGGAGTCGTTGCTCAGTTCTTCATCATGCAATTGTTTGGCCCCATGGCAGACTGCATCGTGCCATTTGTTGTGTGGCCTTTTCGTGGCTTGGCTTGCTGGTTGGGCAAAATGCGTTTCTCCTTCGCACATTAGGGATGGGATGCAGAAGTTTGCTGGGCTGTGAGCAGGATATGAATACCACCGCTTCTTGTCGCTGGTGTTGCACATACTGCGGGCTGCTCCCAGCAATACCTGTGTGCAATGTACTGTTGGCATTTTGTACGTGAGTGATGGGGCTTAGGGTGCGCTGTCTACGCTGAGCCCATAGTGTTCAGCAAAGAGACTATGATTTCAGCATAGCGACAGCAGTACAAGAACGCTTAGGCATCGGCTGTGTATGATTAGATGCAGTCTCAGCAAGAAGACTGAAGCCTTGATTTGCTTCTCAGTGCTCACGTTCGTCTGCGTGCAGAGAAATTCAGCCATCATTTGCACGACTGCTGTTGCATCAATGCTGAAGTGCTGAGCCCTTTGTGCCATCCACAGGCTCGAAGAAAGATGCCTTCCATGAGATGCTGGATGCGGTGTCGTTCGAGTACGTGGACCGCGTGGCAAACCCGTTGGAGAAGATGGCAGCCAGCGTGCTATTCGGACCAGAGGGGATGGAAAAATTGAAGGCCACCGTCGCCGCGACTGTGAGATCAGAGATCCACACGGTGCTGCCCCTGTGCTCGAGCCACGTGGAGCAGGCGCTTGATCTGAAGCAGACCATGCTGGTGGCCCTGCAGCAGCTGCCTGCAACCGACTTCATCGGAATCTTGAGGCCCGTGTTCCAGGAGGACGAAGTGAAACTCATTGCGGTGGGCGCCTTGTTGGGAATGCTGGTGGGGTTCATTCAGCAATGGGGGCTATTCGCATACATTGCCTAGCGAACGGCCGCGTCAGAGGAGCAGCACCGCAGTGGATGACATGATGGGTCATGAGCGGGATCCGTACGGAATCATCTTTGACTTTACCATCCAATACTGGAACAAATTATTGGCCCTAGTCGCGATGTGGCGTATAAATGTCTGCTGGGTGACAAGGAAATGATGGGTGCAGCGTGGCCTAATTATTGCATAAATTGTGCAGCAATTACCGTGCAGGCCTGCAAATGTGATTGTTCGCAGTGGTGGGGCGGAAGGTCCATGATAGATGCGCGGCCTGCCAGGAAGCCTGCGAAGAGGAAACGGACCTTGTATTGATGCAGAATTGAGTTCAAATGAAGCGCAAGGGCGCCCCCCCGCTCAACAACCAAGCTGCGCTACGTCGCCCTTTGTACTAATGTTTGACAAACGCAAGTACAGCCGCCTTTTTCCAAAGGTAGCGAACGTCTCAGAGCCTGGCCATTGTGCAGCATGGAATCCTGACGGTCCAAAATCTCAGCTCAGAGCGAAATAATGTGCCACGAGTGATTCTCCGCCTGATTCTTCCATTCGTTCCACCTGCCTCTTGTGGCCTGGCAATACCCCTAGCGTGTCGCGTGTCGCGCATCAGGGCTGGACACCTGCTAGCGACGGACGCGCCCCTGAGCATGGCCCCCAAGGAACGACCACCTGCACAGACAGCGAGGCGGACTTCTGTTTGCATTGTTTTCTGCTCTGTCGGCCTCGCCCATCCGCCCGCAAATTCGCACATGACGACGATTTTACATTTCCAAACGGAACTGTCGCCCAGCGACTTGACGTTCCTATTGATTGTCCGCGTTCGCTTCACAGTCGTTACACCTCATTAAAACGCTACTCAGCACTGAGCCAGCCCCTAAATCCTGCACTTCACTCGCTCACACACCCTGCATCCGACCGAGTTGCGCTCCAGGAGGGTCAGCTTGGTGCGAAACAGCACGAGCTGGGCACTGAGAGGAGCAACATGAATAGGTCCCCGCTCTCAAGTCCCCGTAAGCCTGCCACTTTCAAGGCCGACGAAAGGCCGTGTGGCCCTCCTTGAACACCTCGGACTTCCGCTGAACAATGCACCAGGCACAGGGACCAAACAGCGGGTCCAGAAGAAGGCCGTACAGAAGGGAGAGCCCATTGAAACTGCATCAGCACCCCACCCAATGTCGTTTTCAGCGGAACACCAGCAGCAAATAGATATAAATTCATTTCCCTTGCCGCTGGGCTTGCAGCCGACGATTCAGATCTTGTCCTTTCTATGGATGCAATGTACTGTTGGCAAAGTGTGCTTTTTCAGTGCATTATGTTCGCTCTTGTTGTCGCCTTTGATATTAACTTCATTACCATTACTTAATGTCCACTGCTCGCATTAGCAGCAATACGTTAATGTCCAGCACTATTTGCTCACCGTGTGGAACAGCAGCGCCTGGCCCTGCTCATCTAGAGTGCCCCCCCCCGACTGCATTAATATCGCCACATTGGTCTGGTCGTTAATATCGCCGTCAGTCCTTTATAGTGTGTCCGTATTCGAGGGCGCCAGCACTGCTATGCACTTGGCGCCTGGCACCGTGGTGCGAGGGCTCTCTGCAAGTGCAGACATCACCCTTATGATTGCTTCGTTGCACATGTGCCCACATGGCCGAGCAGCTACCATCATCAGCGCAGTGGCCATGTCCGCCACGCTCATTGTGCCTTTCTTGGTGGTCATCGCCGTAGTCATACTCACCCGTGTCTTCTCGGATGTCGCCTCGCTGGCGGGGTGGTAGCCTTGTTGATGATTACGCTCTTCGTGTGAAGGATGCCGTGGGGGATGCCATGTCGTCATCCCCGTGGTGATCTTCACGGGAGCCATGATGGCCTCCAATCATGGAAAGGTGGAGCCCTGAGACTGAAGCGTGCCTACTTTCCCCTCGTGCTGGGGGAGCAGGCAAAGGTTTTAAACTCGTTCAAATGCCAGCCTAAATATACTCCTTTGTTCATGCGGAGGATATGATTCAAGCAAAAATAAATACACATCTCCGTCAGTCGATTGCCGTCTTCCCGTTCAAACATTGACTAGGAATTGGTTCGTCCATTCCGGCGATATATACGTCAACTATGTACTGTTTGCAAATGGTGAGCCGCAACTGACGACATTCAGCGTCCTGCAGCTCACCAAAAACGCTGACTGCAGGCCAAGGCATTTATGCAGATCTCCCGTTTGGTGCCGCTCACCAACGTCGCTCAGGCGCCCCACGACGAAGTTGGCGAACCTCGCGATCGCCAAGGGGCCCCCGAACGGGCCTCGAGGTGGTAGCCGCCCGGCGAGACTGCATTCTCCAGAACGAAGTCTGCAACAAGTCAAACACCGAATCGAATGCCGCCAGCAAACCTGCGCTAGCCAACTCACGGCCACACGGGAAGTCTCTCCGCGGGTCAGTCCTCTGACCACGTGGGAGCTTGTCGCCAGGATTGCTATTTGCGTGACGACTGCATTTTACGTACACGGTTTTACGTGCAAAAAGGCGTAAAAGAGAAACGGCTATTTTTAAGGCCACATGCACACATATTTATCGCAGCGGAAGAACACCCCTCCAAGCAGTCTTGTAAGCCGTCTTGTAAGCGGGTTCTCAAGCTTTCTGATAAGCGGCGTAATGCCGATGCCAACATCGGCCAAACCCAAGTAGCTAGCAAGCGGGATGCACGCGACACGCGCAGCAACGCACCGCCGTCGTGTCGCGGGCGTTTCGGAACCGCGCCAAGCCTCACCGCGCCTGCGCGGAGCCGCCTCCGTCATGGCGAGGCCGCCTGACCAGGCGTCCCGGGAGGTGGGCTTCAGAAAGTGGGGAAGCCCTCAGAGGGATATGTGGGAGACGGTCAGGAGCAAAACTGCCATCGCTCGGGGCGGAGGCGCATTTCTGCCCCAAAGAGGCGGAGCTGCTGGTGGCGAGTCAACCGCGTCAGCGGGGCGTGGCATTCCGGTATCGATACTACGCCCATTAAAGCACTGGCTGCTGGTCAAGAAGCCTGCAGGGCGCGTGCCTGTACTTGTGTCTGGCGTGGTCGTGTTGCCATCAAGGCAGCTCGGTCTAGCGCTTGGGAAAGTTGGTATGTCCGCAGGTGTTCTGGGCTCGGTTCGCGTCAAGGGGGCAGCGCTGTGCGCAATAAGTAATAAATCTATTACTTTATGAGCTTTAAATCTCATTTGTGAAGTTCCGCACGTCGAGGAAGGAGGTAGGACCGCATTTTGTCAGACAAAGTTTGTCTTCATAAGTTTTTTTGTTCTTTTTCGAATTCTAACGTACTGCACGCATGCAATCGAAAATCCACCAGTTACTAACGGTTTCTCATTATTGCAGCTTTGCTAAGAGATCTGTCGATGAAAACCCACTGCAAGACAAGCATTTTCCACAAGGAGAGCTGGACAGTTACGAAAGATCATTGGCATTGCAATAAGCAAAAACGTTCAAGAGGAATTCAAGCATACCATTGCTGGCGCAGCAACTGAAAGGCAGTGTATTTGATCTTCGTGACCAGATTGATAGACAGGACATTTTCGAATTGAAAATTCGGGCATACATTGATGTAGCCAGTCTCATTGCTACTCGGTCTCCGGAAAGCGAGTTGCAAAGACGACGGGAATTGTGCTTATCAGAAAATTGGCGTGATGGATCAGTACTATCGATATGTCCTCGGGGATTCCCTTGAGAGGATGTTGGCAATGTTGACAGGCTTGTCGGTCCAACGATCATAATGCATGCCAATTTACATTGCCTGCATGCAATTAAGGCCGCGCCATGATCGGCGAAAGGAAAGTACTGATGCGTCCATTTTACGGGCGAGGACTATCTGCAAACTGCGAAGTTCAGGCTGGAAGATGGCTCCCAAAGAAGACGTTTGAAAACTTCCTCCATGCGATGCCAACATCTCATCTGCTGTCTCTGAAGTAAATTCTAAATGGATTGCCCCATTTCGATGCGAACGATCCCCTGTGGAGAAGGGAAGGCCAGGATTTTGGCTTAGAGATCAAATGTGAGGTCTCTCCGATTAGTTGCGTCGTATCTTAGGGAACACACTGTTTTTTTATTTTGTACGCTCAGCGTCAAATTGACTTTAAAGGATTGGTGGATGGGTGGGGGTGGGGGTGGGTGTGGGGGTTTCATGGTTGAAGCTAAGAGATTGTGTAATTGCACTAAAATCAAAAAATAGGGGGAAGATGCGCAAAACGCCGCTGATCAATGGCAGCTCTCTTATGACTTGTTGCACAACCTCCCTAAAACGTTGAATCCTCGAGAGAGTCCGTAGAACAGATCAATTGTCAGGTCTGGTGGCTGCTCTCATCCCATATCATGGCTTTTGGCATCCCATTCTTTCAAATCACTGCAATCGCTACGGTATTGGCTGCTTTGTCCTTTAGAAATATTTCGAAGCTGTATAGCATTCTCAGGTAATGTTACAGAGTCACCCTGGCATGGAAACAAGGATTGACGCTAAGGAAGGTGGAGTCGGCTGGGAGGTGAGGGTTCTGAGCTTAACGCCACATTGATGCTAAGCGTATAAAATCCAATGTAGTGTCTTCCCCCAGCCAGGAAAGCTCCCAAACTGTAAGTTGTATCTATTTAATCCCATTATGTATGTCTCGAAAGTGCAATGTGAGACTTGGGGATCTGCCGTACAGACATTTGGGAAGCGCCACACAGCTGCCGAATCACGACCCCGTGAATCTGCATCACTGGCTCCAGACTGGTGCTATTTTTAGATAAATCGAATTATTGAATGCTTTTCAATAGCAGGTTGATGCTCATCAGGGGGCGATTAAGAAATTGTTTGACTTTGGAGGAACTGCCAATGCCAACGCCACGGGTTCCCCAGGAATGAGAAATCCTTATTTTGAAGGGACGTTCAGTGAAGCAAGAAGGAATCGAAGCGTGCCAGGATCCGCTCTGAAGAACGTTGTAATGCAAGCAGTTGAAACTTACGCTCAAGCGCAGGAAAATTTCTCCGCATCTGCAAATTCAAGGCTTCAGTCCAATCTAATCTAAGTATGAGAAATCACAGGCAATTGAAAAGTTTGAGCAAGTGCTGTTGCTGCAGCACTTACGACAAGACACAGAGCAAAGCACCGGCTGAGCAACCTTGCAGTGCTTCCTTCCCAATGTTGTTGGTGATGAACAACCTTGCACATCGCAATTTGCAATGCATGAGTTGAGAAAATTGCGCCCCAGGATAGCGGTCTCCACGTCGCAGAACTCCGTGCAGGGAGTCCAAAGGAAATCAAAATTTCTCATGGGCGGTGACGGCTGAATGAACCAAAAGCTTTGCGATACTCCACCGATATACCAAAAAGAGGATTCTTTGTGTACGATGAGTTTCAGGTGTAAGTTTGAGAAACATAAACCTGACCGGTTAGGAACCGAATCGCGGGTCGATTTCGCCTATTTGGATACGTCTCCAATGGCACAAGCAAACCGCTCAGTGCATCCAATGCTGCGACGCCATTGGCGTGTTGCGACCGTTTGATTGGCAGCGATCGCCCTCGAGACTTTCCGCCTGCTCATGACCCCCTTGTGGTGGGACAAATCGATGTCAATGGCTCAGTGTTCCTGTTGTGGCCCCGTTGTGCAACGTGCGATTCGCGTCTGCTTTCTGCAACGGTGGCAGTGCAGCCACAGGCGGGCGCACACCTGAAAACAATCCACATCCCTACACTATTTGTTCGTATATACAGCAGCCCCTGCCTGTCGTGATATCGCGTGCTGCAGCTGGCATTCAAACGCATAGCCACGCTTCCAGCCGCCCCTCCAACAACCACCCAGCATACAGCCCGCACACACTCCTCCCCGCCGTCCAAGATAAAAACCCAGTGCCATACAATCAAATCAAATCGAATCGAAGTCGATCTGCCTGACGGTGCTCGTATCTGCCACCACACGTTCCCTAGCGTGCTCCGGAATCTCCCCGTGGCCCTCGATGGCGCTCCACATGAATGCCGCCTTGTTGCGCTGCTCCACGTACCCCATGGCGTCCAGCACAAGGGCCAGGAAGTGGTACGCCTCCTGCGCCTTGCCCCATGCCTCCAGCAGGCCAAAGGCCTGTGCGGCGTTCTGGAGGGGCTCCAGGACCCTAAAGCCCAGGGCTGCGACTTCGTCGGCCGTCTTGGTGACGCACAGCATGCAGTCCGCGAGCATGAGCTGCGCCTCGCCCTGCAGCATGCGGCTTTTCGATCCAGAATCGTGTTTGATTGCAATCGAGGCACTGAAGGCTCGATCCTTGTGCCCTTTCAGTGTCCTCGGATTGGGAGTGAAAAGCTCCAATTATGGCTGCTCAATTAGCCTCAGGCACTCTACATTCCAGCCCAATTTTGAAGCTGCAATAAAACTATCAAATAGTTTGGCCTCTTTGCATGCTGCAGAATGTGGTGCTGTGGTCTGGAAGGAAGGTGGAAAACATTTGGCAGGTGGCCACTAAAGATTCTCTCTTCGAAAAAGAACGGGGGCCAGTACGTAGGAAGGGCACCTCTACGCCTGTGTCAAGCTTTCAGACAATCTTTCTGTACAACACAAGATGATGCAGAATTTCTGAGCGCAGCAGAGAAAAACAGCAGACTGTTGCGCCTTCACTGTGCTGTGTTGTGGCATCCTTCTTTGGCGCTTTCAGATATTGCAGCAGGAACACTGCATGAATAAGTACCTGATGACCAGCAACAGAAAGGTGTTCTGACCAACATGGTCACAAACCTGAAGCATGATGCTGCCATGAGCTAGGATGAGAGGCAGGACGCCATGAATGAGCTGCACAGCATGAGGTGCGTGAGCAGGGTTCAGTCCCACCCACGTCTTCGCCAGCAGCACGGTGGCCTCGGAAGCTAGCAGGTCAAGATGAAGGTCTTCACAGTGCTGCAGGCAGCTCAGGATGTACGGCATGGCACCCACCTGATAAGGGCAAACAAAAGCAAACAAGCGTTCACCCATTCATCGACCCGTCAGCTTCCACCCATGGAACTGGGGATCGATTTGTAACTAGTGGACCTGTTGGAGTTCTGCTAGCATGAGATTGGCGCACAACACTTTCTGGTGCTGATGCAGCATGTGACTGAAGTGACAAGAGCACCATTGATGCACTATGTGTGATGCATTATAGTAATTCGTTTTGCTATAACAGTAGCCACTGCTGCACTAAGCCAGCCAGTCATATGCACCCATTGCCAAGGATCCAAGGTGAACAGTTCCACAGCAAAGAGTGCGTATTTGCGTATTCTATGATGGGAGAAAGTTGGCAGTCAATTGGGCCAAGATTTCAGTGGCACTGCTGAGCAATGGCAACATTCCCCAATCCACCTCCACTGCCATTCCTCTTCCTCTGCAACAGAAAGGCTGCACTCCTTCCAAAAATTGCCTTTAACAAGACAAAGCGGCGCCCTTGTTACCTCTTAGGCGATGATGTGTATGAATACAGGACTGCCAAAGGTTAGATTCAAGTCATGTCAGAGCCCCATACAAGGTGATTTGAAATATTCGCTGTTCTCGAGTAATGCCATAATGATTTATCGTTCAAGATTTTGCAAAACATCTCCTGCACAACAGGCATGGCATGTCCCAACAGTCACCAGCAACTGCACCACTCAGCACCACACAACCATCAGCCCACCCCCGACCGAGTTTGGTGCAGGGGCACTGGCCTGTGTTGCCTTATGTCTGCAACAAATCCAGTCAGCCCCAGCACCTGGGAGGCGTATCTTCCCGTCATCTCACCGGATTCTCAGCCTGGTCATGAATTTTTGCAACCAACAATAGTATTGATGCTGCTTCGCAGTGCATGCCGGATTTGGCACACAGCTCAAACAGCTTCACTGCACTCTTCTCTGCCTCTTCCAGCCGGCCAGCTGCAGCCAACGCCTTTATGCCCCACTTCTCTGCCTCCACTTGGACATCCAGATCAACAGCACCTGAGGGCTCTGCCATTGCCCACATTTCTGCAGCGAGGTAGACTGCACGAGTGTCTTCCCTGTTGATGGCCCGCTGTATAGACAGAGTCAGTCTGGCGATCTCCAGAGGCTTCTTGGACTGGTAGCAGAAAATCCTGCCAACAATGGCATGGGCCCAAAGTCAGCGCAGCGAGCACTTATGTGCAACCGCAGGTTTTTGTGCAATCGTTCATTGCTTGTAGGAGCACAGGCTCATGGTATCCATATGGAAAATGCCATGAAAGGGGCACATTTGCCATTTGCAATGTGAAGAAAATGACAACTGTTTCTTCAACCATCACTTGTGGTTCCAAGTGATTGTTGCAAGTACTCAGGGTGCTGTTTAAAAGGTGTATTGTATGCAAAAATTGGGGGGGAAATTGAAGTCATCAAACAACAAACTGCTTGTGCATTGACTTTGAGAAACAGATGGACAAACATCCACCAACAAAGTGAAAACCGAAAGTCATGTAGTTGAGCAGCATGCCTGTAGCGAGGTGCCCACACGTAACAAGGTCTTGAGCATACAGGAATAGCATGTACCATTGATAGCTGCAATCGCAACAATCAGGAATCGCACAACTCATGGGTCTTTCCTGGATTCACCAGATTGGAAGATTCTTTAGGCACGCTCCTTTGAAACTGGGGCAAAGCCAGACAGGGGCCATCAACAACTCTGGGCAAGAATGTGTCCACTGCATTGCACTGCATATTAGTCATGAGCTCACTGGATGTGGTATTGTGAGCCTCTTCCTCACATACCACGTCAACCGATCGAATCTTTGTTAGTCTCTAGCCATAACCACAATGTATTGTGTGGTGGACCCACAGCCAACGCCTGTGGGTCTGGTCTGGGCACATGGCTCCAGCAGCTTGGGATTGAGAGCTGTGAAACGTACAGCTTCAGTACTTCAGGGCTGTTGGCTGTTGGTCATACACCGGAAAAGTTCATGGCCAAGCAGTGGCACTGCAAGGGCCCACCTCTCAACGAAGTTCATCATGCTCTTTGCCTCTGTAAAGCCTTTTTGCGCTGCGGTCATCAGTCCTAGCTGTGCTAGTGCCACAGCGATATCATCCGATGAACCCGCATGGCTATAGCAGCACATGTACAGGAGGGCATGCATCCCTGCACTCTGCATGCTGCCAAACATCTTCCATGCTGCTGAGCGCAGCAAGTGTCCACCGCCTGCCAACTGGCTTGTCTGTGGGTTTTGTTCAAATTCCGTTGATTAGATTTGCCTGTTCATTCGTCCATGTGTGTATTGCAAACAGAAGGGGTGTTGTTGATTGTTACTCAATAAAATTCCTAAGAGAAGTAGCAAAAAATTGAGAGACAGCCGGGAGTTGCTGTTGTCAGTCAGATACATACTTGTCAGTGTGCCACCCTCATACTAGGATGCATGTGCATGAAGGTGATGAATGGATTCCCACAACGTGGACAGGGAAAAGTGTTTCTGGGAAACATCCGAAGCACCCTTAATTGTGGGCACCGCAGTTGGAAGTAGAAGACAACGACAACTGCGATGGGACAAGGTAAGGAATTCGAAAACCCATTTCACTGTCTACCCAAAAGTTCCTTTGCATCTGCCACTACACAGTGCAGCACAGTTCAAATTTGAGGATTCCAGCTAAACAAACATCACAGGAGCGGGGGTCTTTCTGGCAACATTGGCACAGACGCTCAAGTTCATGCAAAGACACAACATTCTTCAATAACCGTTCTGGTTGCAAATAAGATCAGGAATCCAGACAAAGAGCCAACCCACCGCAGCAGCCGTGGCCATTTTGGCATCCTTGGTGTATGCACCAAAGACCCCAAGGGATGAGGAGAAGATGTCTGTCCCAACTCCATTGGGGAAGCGTGGATGTGCACCAGTATGGCCGACACCGCCTCTTGAAACGACAGAGGCAAGAGACACATGGCGATTGAGCCGCATGACATCAGCGACCGCCATCATCACCTCGATGTGTGATCGTGCAGTCGTTGCCCATGGAGAAACTGGTCCTGAGGTAAGGCGGTAGCTGAAGAAAGCGCACATTGTTGATTCCTTAGACTTGGATTGTGTTTGCCAAATGAGTAAAAGAATGTTGAAGAAAAAAGCAAAGTTAAGAGCGTGCGGAACATGTTTGCAGGGGGAAATTCAGATGACCGCCACAGGCGATGGCATGATATACACATCCCCATATGCCTGTTTGCTCCCTATTCGTTCATCATGCTGTGCCCGACAAAAATGTACCAAAGAGAAGTGTCAATAGTATATTCTGGAGGCTTATATTTCAAGGTGCATGGTCCAATGCCAAATGTGACCTAGCATGCATCTCAATCGCTGCAAGATTGCCATGTGTCCTGTTCTCGTAGGCCTGTAGTCATGGTCACAAAAATGCACCTTTGTGCAATTGCAATATCAAATGTGATAAACGCCAAAGATAGCACTCGTCAACAAAATGGATCCATGAACATACCTGCACAGAATGTGAGAGATACAGTGTGTCCAAATACACAGAACTTCCATGCAAGATTGTGTCCATTGGGCAAAGACAGCACTCACCGATAGAGGTCAGGGACATGCACACTGTACTGCAGAGCAAACCTTCCCAGAGCAAGTCTGCAGTATGCCACAAGGTGTGGCATACGCAGTTTAATGGCTCGCTTGAGGCATCGCCTCAATAGAAACAGGGTCTCCTTCGGGCTGCCTGTGATGGCAAATGGTGCGTTCTCTGCATTAGAAATCGCCCAGGGTGTGGCCCGCAGCAGGATGCGGCACAGGGCTGCCAGCGAATGCACCACGCACGTGGCATTTGACAGGCGTTGTGCAATGCGCACAGTCTCACTCAACGAGTTCAGGGCCTCCTGTGTCATCAAAACAGCATTTCCCTTGAGACTGTTGTCAACAAATGTTGCCATACCGTTGTGCTGTAACCTGGCACAACCCTGCAAATGTTCAGCAACTGGGGTTCGCCCCAGTGCACTTTTCTGGGAATGTTCGGCCAACCATTTACCTGCATACCACATTGTGAAAGCATACATGGCATCCAACAACTGCCCCCACTACAGCAAAACATAGCTCCTGGGCAGTCGTCTGTCACAACAACATGTCACATGCAAGTGCCCACAACAAATGTCAGGAACACAGTAGTCCAAAGAATTACGGTGCAAAATTTACACACCTGAATGTGGCCAAAGGTTCCCTGGGCAGAACTCATGCAGAGCAGCGCATTCATGAACCTTCCTTGCAGCATATGGCTGATGACATATGCCTCCCTCTGCTGATCCTCCCTGCGATCCAACTCCCCTTGCCAGTCCTGGGTGCCACTATAGTCAAAATACCTGTTGGCACACACCCTCAGGGCATCAACCAGTGTTCCCACACACCACCACGCTCAGATGCGCCACCTGCCCTCATGGCTTGGAATCTGAAACAACAGGCCACTGCACATAATGTTGGTCTGCTCATCAACTTTGACAGGGATCACACGCAGTTACTTGTAGTTTTGGTGAAGTGGCTCAAAGACAGCTGGCAAAAACGCTGATGAAACAGCTGAGGAGGCAATAGAGAATGGATACAAAAGACATGAGATACAGTCCCTTGCAATGCGAAATATCCATCTTCTGAACGGACCTTTCAGGAGAATCAAGCACCAATAAAATGCATAGGCTCCTACTGCACATCTCTTCATTGAAGAATTTACTCCACAGCAAACAATTCATAACCAAGCCCGTGCTAATGTTATTGGCAACCCATCGAACTCGAGGCGCACATCCAAGTTCCCAAGCGGCCAACTGGCCAGCACCTCAGCAAATTCTCCAGTGCAAGGAAGTAGTCCCCCCGCTGCACTGCGCTCAGGTGCCGCACATACAGGACCTTCGGCATCTTGGCCACCTGGCTCTCCAAGTACACCATCCTCTTCTCCATTGCCGCAGGCTCCCCAAGGCTCACCCCCTTTGCCACCCTCGCAGCATCGTCGTTGATGATCCGCTCCAGCACGACAGACTCTCGGGGGCAAGGGCCGGGCAAAGTGGTCATCTGCGTCTCATCGCCCATGGCGGTGGATGGGGAGGCGAATGTGTCAGAGGCGACTTCCTGGAAATAGCCACAGATTTCCGTAGCCAGGCGGGAGGTGGCCTCAAAGTTCATCTCCTGAAAGGTGACCCTGCACTGGCGCAGGTATGTTCCCAACGTGCTGTTGCTGTCAACTCCATGGATACTGTGACAGAAGGCACCATGCATCAGATTGATGAGAAGGTACTCAATTGCAACATTGCCATGCACCATGTTCAAGTGCTGAACTTGCATATTTAAGCCTGCTCAGGTCCATTCCTATGGACAACAGGGGTTGGGGGTCTTTGCACATATTGGTGAAATGGGCAGGAAGAATGCAATGCATTTTTTGGATGGTATATACTCATGTGCCATGCCAGTGGAGGGCTGGCCGTAGCTGCAATAGAAGGCAACCTAACTCAACGATCCAAGACATGTCTTCTGTAGTGTGAGAACCCACAACCATTACCCTGCCAGCCGAAAATACTCGCCTGTGGTCACGGCATGTACCTCTTGTAACCTACCTTGCCCAAAACATAATTCCCTGACCACAAGAATCACTCGCCATGGCTTCCCATCTCCCAGACAACGCATGAGACAAGTTTTGGTACCTTGACAATCAGTTTCATCTTATATGCAAGGCATTCAAGATCGTTGTAGTTATAGGAAGGGAGTATGGGCATTTCCAAACTCACCTGCAACATAGGAAACGACCCCTCTGTTGAATTTTACCTTTACAAAACATTCACACTACAAGATAGAACGATGCCTTGGCACCCGTGAAGGCCACAACAACCATTTTTTTTTGCATCGATTGTGCATGGATGTGCAACAAGCCCAATGTTTTCGCCCTGTGTTCTTCGCCATGCTGTTGCCCCCACATACGCACAGGGCTTGTGGGTATGTCATCGCCCACCTGTCATCTTTCTGGTTGTACGTTGGGCGTGGATTTTTTTTCAGGAGGTCAGACAGGCTGTCCATCAGCTGTGTGACATTGTGTGGAGATGTGATGCCATCCTACCAGAGCAACAGCAACAGCAGATCAACAACTTATCTTTTCTACTTTAATGGACAGGGGAAGTTGCCTGAAGGGCTAGATAGACCAAGTTTGCACACACGCTGCAAAAACACGTGTGTGTCACTTCAGAGATTGGCGTTCTGGGGGCTCGATCCTCAACTACAAAAAGCATTATGCACAACAGGCATCCCTCCAAGCAATGTTTTTGATACAACCTTTGTGCACATTTACTGTAGGCTATAAGCTAGGAATTGGCAGTAGCAACAGGCCTAGACACAATAATGAGCTGGTGCATGGGACACCTGGTGCAGAAGCATGAGACTGTGTTGCGATGGCACCAGTGTCAAAGACTACAGTGAACAACATCTTGCTCTCTACCACTCCACCACTGGTACTGTAGCTCATGAAGGATAGCGTGGGGGGTGTTGAATAGCACGGGGGGCCCTTGGATAGTGCCCCCCACATTGTCAAACATGGCCACCGCTGCACAATGTGGGGGTATGTTATATACTGTGGGGGGCATGCAGCTCCCATGATGGAACACCCTCGTTCACTACCAAAAGATGAAGCGATGCAACGCAGGAAAACGTGGTGACATCCTCCCTCTTTTGCTGTGATTGGCGCCCTACATTAGACCAGTGTTCAATGTGCTACATTGGTATGACAGTCAGTGTGCCAGCGTCAGGTGTTACTGATTCATGGACAAGATGTGGAACACGGGGGGCACATAAAATAACTGGGGGGCACACAAGACAGTGCCCCCTGCGTTCTTGACGCCAGCCTGATGCACAAAAGGGGGGGGGATCCTCTGTGATCTGCAGTACCACCATGCTCACCATCAGCACCGATTACCGTCTCACATCTCTGGTATCAATCACTGACGAAACTCAGCCATTAACTTCTGAAACGACTGCCCTTGAGACATTGGCCAGATGTGCATCTCCCGATGAGTACTGGGCACTGGCACTGGAGCACGTAGCAATTGTTGATATATGGGATAGATACTCTGCTCAGGTTTGTCATTTCACTGCTTTGCACTGAATGGCATTGAATCAAGACGGCGAACTACACCCTTGGAGCAAAACACTCCCCGGCAAGGGTGATTCAACTTACTGGAAAAAAAAACTGAGGATCCCCAATGCGGTCTTGTGGAGGGCAATAACCCCAATCAGGGTTCCAAATCGACACTGTAGACATGTTTGAATATTTCCAGCACAGGGTGAAGGCACGATGCTCTTTGGCGTCCAGCGCCCTTGCTACATGATCACCATCGCCATTACCGCAAATTTCTTGTCAATTCAGTGGGGTCCCTTCGTGATTTCCATTCGTTCAGACTGCGGGAAGACCGACTGGAATGGAGTCGATGGCTATGCGCCCTGCCCACCGCCAAATCCTCTGTAACCCCTTCGCTCTGCCCCACGCGAAACGGGGCATCCAGGCCACCGACCGGCAACGCACCCCCTGCGACAGCGCCCGCAGCTCCGCCACCAGCCATCCCGCCGCGGCCTCCCCGCCGGGCTCCACGGACCGGCCAAGCCTGGACAGCAGCTCGCTCAGCGGCGGGTGGTGCACGTCCTCCCTGCCCTTGATCTCCCGCAGCAGGAACAAGGCCAGCTGGCGGGCCGTGGCGCCGCAGAAGGGCTCCGGGAAGGCGGGGGTGGTATCGATCGATCCGCCGAGGGCGAAGAGCTTGATGAGGAGGCATAGTGAGATCTGCGGGGGCTGGAGCCTGGGGGGCGGCGGCTCGCTCACCGCGCGGAGTCGAGCGGACATGGGGGGAGAGGACCCCGGGGCTGGGGCGGGGGTGTGGGACAGAAAGGGGCCTCAGGGGGCCACAGTCCGTGGTGATGCGACGATGGGTGGAATCCCGTCACGGGTTTCTGGCAGGGATGTTTTGATACGCCAGGCGTGGCCGGGCAGGTCACGTTTAAAGGGACGCCACCCCCTCTTTACGTCAATATGACGTTAAGCGTACAGAAATCAAAACAGCGTCCAGCGGGTTTAGGGTTGTTGAATGGCCATAGCGTGTGACTGCCTGTCAAGGCTGATGAGTCACGGCCACGTGTGCACACTCTAGAGGATATGCCCAATCCAGATCCCCAAACAAAGGGATCCCAAAGACACACAACAACCTATTACTACCCCAGCTGTAAAAACACAGGTCAGCTGAAAGCAGACTGGACTGAAGATAGGACCAGCAGTCACACCCGTCACAAGCTGTGACGTGACGGGTGCTGCGTCCCTTTCCCGCCTGTTCTGGTAGCGCCTTACGCGCTCAGAATTCCACAGGAAATTCAATTGCCCTTTCAGTCTGGCGATTTCCCTGGCCAGGCTGGCAAGCTGGGGAGATTCCCCGCGCATTAAAGGGCAAATGAGGAGTCCGATTAGTGCACCTACTTTCCGAATTAGTCCTGTAGCCCTCGCTGCCAATACTGGTCCTTGGACAATCAAATTGATACTCGTTAAGGTTAGTAGAGCAGAACCAACTGCCTTACAAAGTTGGGACAGTTGGTTAGGGTTTACAAACACTCTTGTCCAATCCTTTATATGTTTTCCAGGATTTTGGACACCTTCAAACGAGATCAGCACGTCATCAACATACAGCTGGACGTCCAGTTTTTAGAACTAGCGTATCAAATCTCTGTGCGAGTCAGTTTTCAAAGACTTTCTCTGACAGCTCGTTCCAGCTTTTCCGCAGCTGACGAGCTTGACCTTCTTTCAAGGATGGCCTCTGAGTCTCCTGTGTGTCTCTATACAGGTCAGCTTTCACAGGAGCTGGGGGGCACCGGGATGGCACAACTTTTACCGCAGGAGTTTGAACCCCGATTTCCGGTTTTAGTTCTTTGGGGCTTTCCTCAGTCTGACTCATGTCTTAGAATCTTTCATTGGACAGCATTTAGAGGAAAACGAACGAGACTTGTATGTTTCCAGTCTTGTAATGGATTCGCACTCCTTTCAGCCTCTACTTCCCTTTAGTACTGGACCTTGCTGAGGCAGTACTTTTTCAGTTTCGGACTGTCCTTGATTAAGCACAAACTGACTCAACTCTCCCTTACCTTGATTACTTACCTTCCTGTTCTGTCGCTTCCAGTCGCGCTCAGGCCAGTTCCCACTTCAAGGGACCAAATTATCCAATAGCCTTTTCGACAGGCTTCCAGGATCGCGGTATGTACTATATATCTTTATCTATTCAATACTTTAGCCTTTATCTCTGTACCTTAGTGGGAGCCCCGAAGGCTTCCCCACAAAGTACAGGGCCGGACCTGGGACCCCGCAGGCTTCCCCAGTAGATCCGGCCAAGAGACTTTACTAGATTGATAGACGGTTTGGGGCCCCGCAGGCTTTCCCAATAGACCGGTCTATAATCAGTAAATGACTCTTTAGATGAGACAGAGATTGAATAAACGCACTCCGAATTTAATTACACCGTGACCCTCCACGGGCCACAACCTGTACTACAAGGAATTGTTCAAGTTTTAGGTCACCAGATCCCTCCGCCTATTGGCTTCGGGGCTGGCCACTTCGGAGTGGAAACCGCTTGTCCAAAGGGGTTTGCACCCCGCTATTTATACCCCACAGCCACTGCCCCCATGCCCAAGAGCACCCAGAATATTCCCAAAAGATTCCCCAATAGCTTCCCGGATCATCCCCTCCCTGTCTAGTCAACTTCCCGCTCAAACCCGATCAGGTACTGATCACCACCCCTAGCTTCACCAATCATTCCCCAGAACCCAATCATATCCCTTTCATACCGCACAGGTCAAATCAGTATTCCTCTTAGTACGACCATTCATCCTTCTCACAGCACTACTCAGCGAATTGACACACCATACCCCCTTTGATTCAACACTCAGAGTTATGATTACCTTGCTCACCAAAATGCCAAACCAAATATTCAGTAGTTACTCACCAATACCCAGTTATTGACCAGCTAGCGATACCCACTTTATCATGTACCGTACTGCCTCAAACCAGTCGGGGTATGACAGCCCAGTCATCCCCTCCGTTCTCCACCAACCCTTCGGCATCGACGCTGGGGTCCATGTCGGTCTCCATGTCGTCGTACACCAGCAAATCCGCTTCGTTGGCGCTGTCCTCAATCACGACGTAGCCCCTCTGTGCCTCTCCAGCGACCGTCGCCGCCTCCGCCTGCGCCGCGCCGACTCCGGCCGCCCCCTCTGCTCCAGCGTCCTCCTCCGCATCGCGCGCAGCCCTGGCCTCCGGATCCTCGACCGTGTCGAGGAGTCCATGCACCTTGAACTGCCAAGTCTCCAGGTCTTTGGGGCCCCATGCCCCCATGTCCTCCGCCTCGTTCCATTCCCACCCGGTTGCCACCAACTGCGCTGCCGTAAGCTGGCGCTTCGCGGCGAATGCGCACATGGTGCACATGTGATCACATGTGCACACGTCGCAGCCTTCCGCGCCGTAGTCATTCAAGTCGCCCTCTTGGCGAGTCCAGCCGCTTCCCCACACCGAACGCTCGGCAGCGTGCGCCTCTTTTGGCGTCGCACCCTTTCGAACGCGTTCGTTGTAACGTTCCCAATACACATCCCTCCAGTAGCCAGGGAGGCGAGCTTCAACGGCACGATTCCTCGCCTTCTCTTCCTCACGCTCTTGCCTGAGCGATAAGGAATCGCTCAGCCACGCGGCCTCGTCCAAGTGCGCCAACGGCACCGTGGCTTCAATTCGCAGCCAACACTTATGGTGCGAGGCCGCCAATACCTGCCAACGCAGGTCTTTCGACCGCAACAGATAAGACATGGGAGCCCCGCCTTGGCCCTCAGAGGGATGCAAGGCGGGGCCCTCCCCACGGAAGCCAAAACTCCTAGGCTTCTTATGATGCCCGTCATGCTCGGCTGCATTCCAGGCTTCCCCCGTCACAGTCGTCCATGCAGAGCGCTCCGCCTGGAACCTTTCCCGCACCTTGGTGCGGAGGCGGAAGCTCCAACGTCGAGTTGGAATGGCGCACACCACATGCGCCTCGAGAGCGAGGCACATGGGCAGCGTCACCCTCGACATTTTCCAGCGCCAAGTCCACGCGAAGGAAGTCCTCAGCCACCATTGTGGCAGGCCGACTCCAATCGGCGATACCCACTCTTCTGGGACGCCCAACTCCGAGTTGATTCCCCTCCGGAGCTCGCGCTGGACATGGCATGGTGGGCCATTCACTCGCGGCTCCCACACGCTGCCGTTTTCCGCGGTCGACTCCATGTCCGTTGGTGCCGGCTCGCTGGGACCAACCAGGACGATAGGCATGGACATGTCCAGCCTCCCTGCACGGTTCCGAGTGGGCGCCAGCCCTTTTCGCGGGCTCCTTTTGACTGCGCGCGCAACGCCGCCTCCGAAACGGCCCCAAGGGCCAACTCCACATGCTCCGTACGGTGACCAAGAGGCGGGATGACGTCTTACTGTTCATGTCTGCCATGGACATGATGCAGAACGTATGCGCACAGCGCATTACGTTCTCGATTCATTCTGATGACGCTACCTTGGGAATGCCAGGAGCTGGCAGTCCACAGCGGGGTGACGGCGGACCTGACGGCCCTGATCCATTGTCACATGGGCATTCGAAGGAATCATCGTCAATCCCAAGCAATCGTCGGTCTGACGAGGGGCATGGGACCCAACCACTGTACAGCCATCAAGTTTTGTGTCTGAATGCAGTACTATTTCAAGAGCATTTTCCCGCCCTATCATTATACTCTTTCCTTGATGTACTGCCCCCATAGGACATATCATGCCTCGTCCTTTTTCATTCAGAATACTGATTCTATGATGGTACCGGCGGCCTCCCAGGCCTGCGTCTTTGTGCCCACGCGTCTCCAGGTGATGGGACAATTTCCCGTCAATATTCATCATTTCAAGGGGCGGTAGTTGCTGCAGGCCATCTCAGAACTATTGCCAGTGTGTACATACACACCTATTGGAGGGGATTACCCTCAGTACTTTGCATTAGACTGGTCTACACCCAACAGACCAGTTGAATAGTGGTCATACATTCATTCCCATTCTTCAGCTGATGGCAGAGCGATTTCCCGAAGCGTCGAATATTCCATTCTTCTTTCGTGGGGGCCGTCACTGATCCTAGTACCCCATCACCATTAAGTTACTCTTTTTCTCAGTTATGTCATTACTTCTCATCCATTCTTCTTTTCTTTTCTTCAGCCGTAATAAACTATTGTTAGTGAGAAGGCCAACGGAGGTTATAGACAGCCTTTGGAGTATAACCCTTTCAGTTGCGTTAACTTATCATTGGCAGAAGGCTCGCAACTTTCTTTTGATCGGTTAGCGACATGCTCAGAGGGTAACCCCCTTCATCCGGCTATGGCCCATGTGTCCCGGTGACATCCCTGGGCTGAACGCCTCAAGGCGTTCCATTCACGCACACAGCCGGTTATCCCTTCTCGGCCAATCCCTTATGCAAATTGCAGTTACAGTGCACAATCATCAAACGATTGTCGAACTCAAACCCTCGGTCCTTCTGAGAACTTAAGACAGTTTGTGTCCACCCAATTCAGTTTTGTGACGCTGCCTTTCTCAAGCAACTATCCATCGCCTTCATGAAAAGCTTCCAGCAGTTATGCATAGGAACCTTCAAGCTTCGGCCGAGCGTTATCGATGATCTTCAGCGCACCCAGATCTGAGCAGCCACTTAGGAATTGTGGCATGCAATGTTCCCTTGGTCTTTCTCCTACAACCATTTTCCAGGCAGCAAGTTAGGCACTATAAACTGTCAAGGCATAACGACCATCGGATATTTTCTTGATATGCCG